TTAGCTCATTTAGAGTCCTCTTCTGGGGCTGGTGAACAGGAGGACTATGGGAGGCCTTTAGATAGAAACTTCAGGACCAAATTATTGTCCAGTCATTTCAGTCACATCTAATTCTCTGTGACCTCATTTGAGGTGTCCTTGGTGAAGATACTGGAATGGTTGGTCATTTCCTTCTCCAGCTCATTTTACAGATAATGAAACTGGTTAAGTGTCTGAGGTCAGATTTGAACTCAGGAAAATGAGTCTTCCTGACTCCAGGCCTGGCCCTCTCTGCACTATGACATCCCACCTAGCTGGCCCCAACCTGCTTTAGCAACAGCTGCTTTTCTACATGATGGTTCTGGTCCATCTCAAATTCACTGGACGAATTTCCTTCTTGTTACCACGGTTGTTGGGTGACAAAAATTAGGAGGCAGAACTATCTCAAGTTAATGAGAAGTTGATTGATCGTCACACGCAGCGGCATGAATACATGCACACAGACATTCTGTGAGAGACCACAAACTTCCCCTAATTGCCTTAATTTTTACACCCTTGATCAAACAACTCTGGCTTCTTTTCTTTAGTGAACATGGTTCTCTAGCTGAAATAACATTGCTGCAAGTCCTCTTCCTTATTCTGAAGACATTCTGTTTTCAAGAACATCCGGATGTTGCCTGTCATGCAATCCTGCAATTTATCAGCGACTCTATTGCCTCCCTTTTCTGTTTTACAATCTTGTGGGTCAATGTGAATTATTTTCCCTTATTTCCGTATTCTGTTATATTCATACAAAACTTAATATTTTTATGTCCTCACATATTTCTTGGGTTTTTATTGAATGCTACCAACACACAGATTTAGGTTCTGATTCTCTAATCAGTTCCAGGGTGACCTTGGAAAGAGAACCAAGTCACTGAACTCAGGTCAGAACTAGGACTTCTAGGTAATTCTAGAGAAGGGCAAAATCCCTGAGAATCATATCCACAACATACACCCCGGGGTTTTTTGGTCTCCTCTAAGGAATTTGTGGACCTACAGAATTCTAGGTGTGCATGTGAGAATCTCAACACAATCTAAAAATGGAAAAAAATACTTTATAGAGAAGAATCGGCAAAAACACAGATAGAAGAATTTATATATATTCATGACTAGAACCACTGTTCATTACTAAGGGAAGTTTCGGGAGTTAGGATATGTCACTACCTTCTGAGGGGATAGTCAAGTGAAATTACCAACCAGTTTTCCCACAAAACATTCCCCAGGATAGATGTCATAGAGTTCATTAGACAAGACCATTGTTCTCACTTGCTACAGCATTTTGCAAATTTTTGTGGAACTGTTCCTTTCTTGTTGGTTCTAAGCTGTTCTTTCATAAACTAAAGACAGTACTCCAGAACAGATGTCAGAGAGAATAAGTCAACTTAATTTGTTTATCTTTTATTACATCCTTGCTATCAGACAAATAAGCTTTCTGGCCTTCGGTTTCATCACTATAAAATGAAAAAAGTGGACCAGGAAGTGACTGCTGATGTGCCTTCCAGCTCCAAAGTGATGCAGCATGCATTTGCTACTCTCTCTGACGTCGCCCTTGTACCACAGAAGGGGAAAGGAATGGATGGTCAAAGCAACTGTGGCCTCTGCTGGCCTGTGCTCAGAAACACAAGCGTGTAAGAAAGGATGATTCTGAAAAGCCTATGTGCGAGGGTGACACAGGTGTTGGGTGTTTTGGTCATCGATCATAAACTGACAGACTCAATGTATCTGGCGGCCGACAGCTAAAGGACTGAATAACACAGAGAAAGTGCTTTATACACTAGCTATCATCATTACTGTTGCTGTTATTACTACAATTACTAAGAAGAGAAAGATGGAGACGGAAAAACATTTATTTACTATAATGAGATTCCATTCCAACAAAAAGTTTTAATTTCTGAGGATCATAGTAAAACACAGATAATGCTTATTTCAGAAGCTCATTCTGCAGATAAGGAACTTGAGACCGAAAGCTTTTAAGAGTAACAAGGTGACTCAGTATGTTAGTAGCAGAGTCAAAAATAAGACCTAGGTCTTCTAATTCAGTGATCTACTAGGCTACAGCTATTTCTTATATTTCTATCTCATTTTTGTTGTTCAAATGTTTCAGTTGTGTCCAATTTTTCACTCAACATTTGGGGCCTTCTTGGCAAATATAGTAGAGTGGTCTGCCATTTCCTTCTCCAGTTCATTTTATAGATGATAAAACTGAGGCAAGCAGTGGGAAGTGACTTGCCCAGGGTCACACAGCTAGTAAGAGTCTGAGGCCAGATTCAAACTCAGGAAAATTAGTCTTCCTGACTCCAGGCCTGGCACTCTATCCACTGTGCCACCTAGCTGCCCTCTATCTATTTTTACAATATAGCAAAAAATTTAAGCAAATTGCCTTATGATGTAGAATAAGGGGGAAGGGAACAAGCATTTATTAAGCGCCCACCAGGCGCCAAACTGTGCTAAGCACTTTACAAATATATATATATATATATATATATATATATATACACAAAATAAATGAAATCTAGTCTTTTGAACTCTAGTGTTAGGGTTCTCTGGAGCTAAAAGAAGAACTCTTGAGTACTGAATTAGTATTATAGAGGCAATGACTAGATTAACTCCCTTCCCATGCATCACTATGATTCTTACACCTGAAGTCACTTCATTGCTCACCAATAGGCTCAGCAGAATCTAAGTTCAATCAGCTCTTTACAGAAATTAAAGCTCTTTGGCAGACTGACCAGTAATTTCACTGGGTTGCATTCTTATTACAAAGTCTTTGAAATTGGTTGTGATGAAAACTGCATCACCCTGGAAGGAGTTTGATGATATATGTCTCTATGAAGCGAGGCGGGTCATCAGATGAGACATAATCCATCATTCGCCTACACTTAAGGGCTTTCCAACTTGGTAGGACAACTTGTATTACACTGGCACTGACTTTCTGAACATTGGGCCCTCCTAGTATTTCTCCTGTCTAGGTTACCAATTCTTCTATAAAACTCCTCCTTTGATGTGTCATCATCAGAAGGAGATTGACGAAAAAGCAAAATGACAAATGTTGGAGGCTGTAGGAAAACAGCCACACTAAAGCACTGTTAATTAAACTGTGAGTTGGTCTAGCCATTCTGGAAAGCAACTTGGAACTAATTATAAAAGTCACCAAGACACACATGCTTTTTAAAAATCCAGTGATGTGACTACTAGGAATATACTCCAAAGAGATCAAAGAAAAAAGGAAAAGGACCCTGTATGTACAAAAATGTTTATAGCACCTCTTTCTGTAGTATCAAAATACAAGAAACTAAGGGGGTGCCCATTTACTGGGGAAAGGCTAAACAAATTATGGTCTACGAATGCAATAGAATACTACACTACTGTGCCATGAGGAAAGATTATATAGACAATTTCAGGGGAAATTCTCACTGAAGTGAGAAGAACCAGAACAATTTATGCTCTAACAATATGATAAAGAAAAAAAACTTTGAAAGGCATCAGAACTTGATTAATGTGCTGACCAACAAAAGATGATTCTGGAGGCCCTAAGATGAAGCTCATTAAACAGAGGTGATGGACTCAGAATATATAATGTAGACAGACATTTTTCAACATGGTCAATGATGGAAAATGTGTTTTTTTTGATTAGGCATGTTTGTTACAAGGGTTTTCTTTTTATTTTATTTACTGGGGGTGGGGGGGAAGAGAAGGAGGAGGAAGAGAAAAATGCTCATAAATAGCTTTTAAAAAATACGCCTGATGGCAACTACAATGGCAGCCAAATAAAGATGAGCACGAAAGAAAGAGGCACAGATATAAGTGAGGCAAGGCAGGACAAACCGAGGGTAGTGGATAGGCTGGATGAAGATTTGAGAGAATACTGACTCACAGAAGTAGAACCACTTATGTAAGAAGATCTAGAACCTGATTTGGATAAAATCAAGCACTTCAAATCACAGATAATTTCTTTATACACTTCAAAAGGATATCATAGAAGCACAGAATTAGAACTGGAAGGTAGATCAGAAATTATCTATTCCAACCCCTTCATTTTATATGCGAGGAAACTAGAGCCTAGAAATGCTAAGTGACTTGCCCATGATTGCATGTGCAGTAAGTGTAAATCTGTGCCGGGCTTTGAACTGAATTCCTCAAGTGCCAGGAAGGGGTTCTCTCCATTGTACCATACTGCCTCCTCTCTACAAAGGGAGTTTACGAGGATTTCTTAAGTAAATCTTTATTCATTTCATTTTCCAAAAGAGAAGTGATGAGAAATTGAGTTTAGTTTTGAATATCATATTTTAGAAAAGTCAGTTGAGGTCAACAGTGATGTATATTCTGGGAAAGAAAAGACTTACTTGGCAAACAATCTCTGTCTTCAAATAGTTGTCAAGTAGAAGGATTGCACTTATTCTGCTAAGCCCCCCAAAAAAGAACGACGAGCAACAGGTGAGTGGAAATTGCAGAGCCAAAGATTTAAGATATGGAAAATCTAACAATTAGAGTTATCCAAAAGTGGAATGTGTTGCCTCAGGACATTAGTGAGCACCCCCTCATGGGAGGTCATTTAGACTGAGGCGAGATGACTACTTATTAAGATATTATTGAAGGGCATTCCTGTTCAGTTATTGAGTGGACTAGCTAGTCTATGGAGTCACTTCCACCTCACAGGTGGAAGACAGAGAGATAGAGAGAGATTCTATTCTCTGAGTGCCATATACCCTGTGAACATGATGCTTATTGTTACTTCAATCATTTCAACAAAAATTATTATTATAGACTTCTACTATGTGCAAGGAAGGATATGCCAATTTTGTTTTAAATTTCTTTTAGGATCGATATCATCTGTAAATACAGTTACAGAAAGTTAAGCCAGACAGTGGAGTGGACAGAGGAGTGGAATTTTAAAAGCACATTTTTAATAAGGTTCTTCTGGCATATGACCTTGAGCTTTAAGGTCTTCCACATTCCATCATTTCTTCACCTTTACTTACCCAGCGGAACATTTTCTGTATCCATTGCCATGGTAACCACAGTTGCCAAATCTGTCTCCTTTAGAGTTGACTTCAATAAAACAATCCTTTGGAGCAGCTTTTGCTTCTGAAATTCCAAGAAAAAAAGTGGTGTTAACCAAGAAATGAGTTTTTCCTGGAATCTCTCTAGAGCCTCAGTTCCCCATTTCCTAACTGCCGGCCAAATGTATCCTACTTTGATATCAAGGCTCAAACTCAACACCTCCTAAACTGGATTCATTTTCCCAGAATATAAGACTCTCCAAGAAAATAAAAGCTCTTTGAAGGGAGGAACAGTTTAGCTTTTATATTTAGATCCTCAGTGCTTAGCACAATACCTGAGGCATAATAGGAACTTAATGTTTGTGGATTAAAGAAGAAATGGAGAGAAAAAGGAACTAATAAGCAAACCCCTAAATGGAAAAGGGTAACAAACATGGATAAGGGATCAAGAGTGAGGGGAAGACAGTCAGGCGGAAGAAGGACACCTTAAAGAAAAGATTAAGGTAAAGTAACTGCAGGAATATAGTACTGTGTAGTAGAATGAGGGGAAAATCATAACTAAAAAAAAAAATCCAACATTAGAGACAGATGGAGGAAAATATAAACCTAAATCTCATAACTGTAAATGTGAATGGATTAAACAATCCAATAAAATTAAAAAGTGACAGATTCGATAATAAAACAAAACTGTATGATCTGTTGCTTACAGCAAATATATTTAAAAAACAAAGAGATGCAAAATAAAACTCATGGGATAGGGGAAAAAATTGACTATTCATAAAACGACTCCAAAAAGCAGAAGCTGCAATCATGATGACAATGCAAAAATAAATATTCAAAAATTAAAAAGAGATAAACAAGGAAACTATATTATGCTGAAAGGAAACATAGAAAGCAAACCAATATTAGTAATAAACTTTTATATTCCAAATGCCTTACCACCCCAATTCATAAAGGGGATGGGAAAAAAAATACACATTTCTCAGCACCACAAAACTGAGCATGTACAGAGATATTGTAAATAAATATAAAAAGGCAGAAAGAGTTAATACATCCTTTACAGACCATAAAACAATAAAAAACAGTAATTGGCTCAGGGACTATGAACAAAAGATAGACCAAAATGAAGACAACTATGAAATTATAAATAATGAGTGGATCAAAGATAAAACAACATACTAAAATTTCTGGGATGCAGCTAAAGTAGTCCTCATGGGAAAACTTGCATCCTTACAAACATACATTAACAAGATAATTTTAAAAAAAAAGGTTAGTTAACTAAATATGCTTTTAAAAAATTAGAAAGCCAACAAATAAACAAACCTAAAATAAGCACAGAAGAGAAGATGTTAAAAAATTAGAGGGGGAACAGATAAATCGGAAATAAAACCAAAGAAATGATAAATAAAACTAAAAATCAGTTCTTTGAAAAGACGAATTAAATTAATAAACCCTTAGCTAATCTGATTAAAAAGAAGAGATCTGAAAAACACAGTCAATAAAACCACAAATGAACAAAGTAAAACTACAATAAAACCAGAAGAAATTTTTAAAAATTATCATCAGAATATATGCTGCTAACAAAACCAAAAACACAAAAGAAATAGGAGAATACTTTCAAAAATATAAAATATCCAAACTATTATAAGACAAGATAGAGATCTTAAAAAAACCAGTCTCAGAAAAGGAAATGGATCTATTTGTAAAGGAACTACCAAAGGGGAAAAAAAGTCCTGGTCCTGATGAATTCACAGGAGAATTCTATCAAACTTTTAAAGGTTAGAGCCGTTCCAGATCTTACATTGTATTATAAAGCAGCAATCATCAAAACTACTTGGTACTGGCTAAGAAATAGAGTGGTGGATCAGTGGAATAGATTAGGTATGCAAAACACAGTAGTCAATGACTATACTAATCTACTATTTGATAAACCCAAAGACTCCAGCTTCTGGGATAAGAACTCACTCTTTGACAAAAACTGCTGGGAAAACTGGAAAAGAGTATGGCAGAAACTAGGCACAGATCAAAATCTCACATCATATACCAAAATAAAGTCAAAATGGGTTCATGATTTAGATATAAAGGCTGATACTATCAGCAAAATGGGAGAGCAAGGAATAGTTTACCTATCAGATTTATGGAGAACAGAAGAATTCATGACCAAACAAGAGATAGAGAACATTATGAAATGCAAAATGGATAACTTTGATTATATTAAATTGAAAAGCTTTTGCACAAACAAAGCCAATGCAACCAAGATGAGAAGAAAAGTAGAAAATTGGGAAATAATTTTTACAACCAGTCTCTCTGATAAGGGCCTCATTGCTAAACTATATAGAGAATTAAGTCAAACTTATAAGAATACAAATCATTCCCCAATTTGATAAATGGTCAAAGGATATGAACAGGCAGTTCTCAGATGAAGAAATTAAAGCCATTTACAGTCATATGAAAAAATGCTCTAAATCACTGTTGATTAGAGAAATGCAAATCAAAACAACTCTGAGGTACCAGATCACACCTATCAGACTGGCTAACATGACAAAACAAGAAAATGATAAATGTTGGAGAAGATGTGGGAAAATTGGAACACTAATGCATTGTTGGTGGAGTTGTGAAATGATCCAATCATTTTGGAGAGTCATTTGGAACTATGCCCAAATGGCTATAAAAATGTGCATACCCTTTGACCCTGTAATAACACTTCTAGGGTTGTATCCCAAAGAGATCATACAAATGGGAAAAGGACCCACATGTACAAAAATATTGATAACAGCTCTTTTTGTGGTGGCCAAGAACTGGAAATTGAGAAGATGCCCATCAATTGGGGAATGGTTGAACAAGTGGTGGTACATGAATGTAATGGAATACTGTTGTGCTATAAGAAATGATGAACAGGCTGACTTCAGAAAAACCTGGAAAGACTTGTATTTTCTGATGCTGAGAGAAGTGAGCAGAACCAGGAGAACATTGTACACAGTAACAGCCAAGCTGTGCGATGACTAATATTGATAAACTTAGCCCTTCTCAGCAATCCAAGGATCTAAGACATCTCCAAAGGCCTCATGATGAAAAATGCTATCCACATCCAGAGAAAGAACTATGGAGTTTGAATGCAGATAGAAGCATACTGTTTACTATTTTTTTTCTTCTGTTGTATTTTGTTTCCTCTTCCTGGTGGTTCCTCCTATTGGTTCCAGTTCTTAATTACAACATCCCTAATGTGAAAATATGTTTAATAGGGATGTATATGTATAGCCTATATCAGATTGCGCACTGTCTTGGGGAGGGAGGTGAGGAGGGAGGGAGGAGAAAAATTTAAAACTCAAAACTTATGGAAGTGATTGTTGATAATTCAAAATAAATTAATTTTAAAAATAAATTAATTAAAAAAAAAAACAGAACAGAACCCTGCATCTGGTGATTGTACCACCACACTCCTACTTTTTTAAGTCCCTCTTTTCCTTCATGGCCTGACAAAGTTCCTTCTCTCCCCCATGAAGGCTTTCCTGACTCCTTCCAGCCTAAAATGTCTTTTCCTCTTCAGAATTTTTATAAGTATTTTGTCCACATGCCATTGTAGCTTGTATCACACTAAATTTGTGTATAGGTTTGTTCTTCCCTAAGCTGACTGTTAATTCCTTAAGTGTTGTTCAGTTGTTTTTCAGTCACATCCAAATCTTCATGACTGCACATTTGGGGTTTTCCTGGCAAAGATACTGGAGTGGTTTACCACTTCCTTTTTCAGCTCACTTTAAAGATGAGGAAACTAAGGCAAACAGGGTTAAGTGACTTGCCTAGGGTCACACACCTAGTAACTGTCTGATCCTGGATTTAAAATCAGGAGAATGAGTCTTCCTGACTCCAGGCTCAGAACTCTATCTACCGTGTCACCTAGATCCCCTCCGTAAGTGTAGGGACTGTCAATTTTTATTTTTATATTTGCAGAGATTATCATGGTACCTTGCATAACAAACATTTAACAAATGTTTGTTGAACTGAATGAAACTTGCACAACTGCCTTCTACAAAAGTGGTATGCCTTATAACCAGCCCCTTCCCTAAGGCCCCAAATTGCACTTACTTTGTGCTTCTCTTAAACCTTTATAGGTCATTTTGCATGATATTAATTTGAGCTATGTCTCACATTTTGTACAAAATGTGTGCTTCACAAGAATAAGGCCTGCTATTTTATTTCATCTTTTGTTATTCCCCTAATGCCCAGCATGGCTTCTGCACAAAGGTGGTGTGAAGAGAATGAGAGTGGGAGTGAAGGAGCAAGGAAGACACTGAGATTATAAACATAGGTCCCTGAAAAGATGGTGGTACCCCCAATAGGGATTGTCTAGAATAGCAGTATTTTTGGGAGGAAAGATAATGAGTGATTTTGGATAGGATGTGTTTGAGATGCATCCAGTTTGAAATATTTCACAGATGATGCTGGACTGGAGCTCTGGAGACACAGAAAGGCTGAATATATAGCAATGGGTGTGTCTAACTCTCTGCGACCCCATTTGGGGTTTTCTTGGCAAAGATACTATAGTAGTTTGCCATTTCTTTCTCCGGCTCATTTTACAGATGAGAAAACTAAGGCAAACAGGGTTTGTTCAGGGTTACACAGCTAGTAAGTGTCTGAGGTCAGATTCGAACTCAGAAAGATGAGTCTTCCTAACTTCAGGCCCAACACTCTATGCAATGCACCACCTAGCTGCCTAGATATGGGAATCACTTGCATAGATGATTACTGAACTCATGAGAGCCAATGGGATTGCCAAGAGAGAAAGTGTAGAGAAAAGAAGATCCAAAGTTCCCAGAGATCCCCAGGGTATATCCAGTTAGAGGGAAAAATGCAAATGATAGTCCAGCAAAAAAGCCTGAGGACTGGTCATCCAGGTCAGAGGAGAAGCAAAAAGAGAGTGCCACAAAAACTCAGAAAAAAGTATCTGGGAGGAAAGAGTAATCAAGTATATCAAATGCTACAGAGAAGTCAAGAAGGATGAGAACTGAGATTTGGCAATTAAGAGATCATTAGTGACTTCACTTGACTTATGAAGTCACAAGCCAGATTTACAAAGGATTAAGAGAAGAGAAAGTGGAGGCAATGAGTGCATATACCTTTTTCTAGGAGAGTGACTGTGAAAAGGAGAAGCTGTAACATAGGACCATTGCTTGATGAGATAGAAAGATTGAATGAGGGATTTTTGATTTGTTTTTTAAGGATGGGGAAAACTTGGGAGTTTGTGGGCAGCAAGGAGTAAGATATTAAGGACAGGTTTAAAATTACTAAGTAGGGGTTGGAAGAATGATTGTGGGGGCAATCTGCCAGAGAAACAGGAAAGAGTAGGTAGTGTTGAGGATAAGAGTAAATGATTGGTGAGAAGAACAGCCATTTCTTCATCAGACACAGGTATTTCTCCTCTTTTAGGAAGAAAGAATAAGGGAGCATAAGCCAAAGGGTTTTGAGATGTAGAGAAGAGAGTTCAATGAAGAATTAAAAAGCATTTATTAAGTGCTTACTAAACACTTGGGATTCAAATACAGAGGGCAAGAGGAAGATAACATATAGGGGAGGAATGTTGGCTGGGAAACGATGTTTTGATTTGGAAAAATTAAAAAAAAAAAAAAAGAAAAAAAGATGGTAAGTAGAATCACAGGGCAATTGATTGAAACATCCTTTCCAGGAACGGCAGTGTTGATTTACTTAATGTTGCCAGAGCAAGAGGTGGAAAGGAAAGGAGGAGTAATATTCAAGGCAGTAGGACATGAAGATAGCTAGAGTGCATTGTGAGGAACCTTGGGGCACACCAAGCTACAGTGAACTCTCATCAATGGAGACTATAAGGATCCAGAACAAGAGCTAGAGTTCCAGGCTAAATGCTGAGGGTATAAGTAAAGCTCCTTGATCCTAGCTGGGAAAGCTCAAAAAGGATGGCCCATTTCAGCAAAGACAGGCAGTTTAAATTGCATTTACAAAAAAGTAATATTCAGACATGTCAAAGCAGTGCCCAACCCCCATTTTTCTGTGTCATATCTTATTATTAACTGAGCTTCATACGGGTCAGCCACAAATTCTTTAGGAATTTATCTTCATAAAAGAGAAGTGAAAATAGAAAGAGAGTAGAAGAACCAGAAGTGACAGCTTTGCTCTTCTCACCAAAAAAGAAAGAAAAAAAAAAAGGATCTCAGAGGTATGGTGAAGATGTACATTACGGTAACTATGAGAATTCATTTTGCTGCAAATTTTACTTAGAAGGTCTCCAAAGAGTAACTGTATTTTGGGTTTTAATAAAATTTATTCCATTTTTTCTTCATTTCATGGAGAAAAACCAAAAAAGTACCATGAAAATCTTCCAGGTAGGACTCGAAACAAAGGGAATTTTCTTAAATGAATCCACAACATGTAACAGGTAAGAAACTTTGAAAAAGAACAGAAATATTTATTAGCTGTGTGACCCTGGGCAAGTCACTTAACCCCAATTGCCTAACAAAAAAAAAAAAGAACAGAAATAAAACATGTCATCAAGTAATATGATCAAGAGAGGTAGACTATTCAGTCACATGATGAGAGAAGACAAGTAGACAAAGTATTCCACTAGGACCCTACTCCTGTGATGTCAGAAAAAACTGAAGAAGGCCTCTAGCACTTTGGATGGACCCTTTGTGGCAAAATTCTTCTAGGACATAGATAAGAGTTGCACAAGACAAGCAGGACTGGATGGTTTGCAAACTGCATAGTTAGAAGGAACATTCAATAATGAGTTCTGACAGTTTCTGTTTTCCATCAAAACTAGGTTGCTAGGAAAACCTGAGGGTTACAACCTGAAGGTCTCTGACCCCATAAAATAACCAGAGTAGACTAACAAACCAGGATTAACTTTAATAATACATAACATCAGTCTGTGCTTAACAGTAGTATTTCTTTATAGTTTGCTTCAAATAGTCTCTCTTATAGTTAACATGTAAACCTAGATACTGTTTAATTAATATGCACCCTTTTATTCTTAACATGATGATGTTTACAGAAAAGGATTTTATAGATCATAGAATCACAGCTCGAGAACTGGAAGGGTCCTCAGACATTACTGTCATCCCAACCCTCTCATCGGACAAATAAGGAAAATGAGTCCCAGGAAGGTTATATGATTTGTAGTAAAGGTAAGAAGCAGAATTTGAACACAGGTCCTCTGATCCCAGGGTGAATGCTCTTTTCACTGTAACACAAAGGCCTCCAGCATGACTTCTCTGATCTATTTGCTTTTTTTTTTTTTTTCAAACTATCCATTCCACTCATTCTTCTGTGTTGAAAACCCTGGTGTTATCTTTGACTCTGAGGAATTACCTGTGACCAGAGATGGCCCAACCAAATGTCTCCCAACCAGTGAGTACAGGATTCTTGGTGCGCCATGGAGTAATTACAAGATTAAGAATATATATCCAAATCTATAAATAAGCAACCATAGCTTCTATAAAGTGAATAAATAATGCTTCACACATATATGTATTGCTCATTTTCAAATTTATGTAGATGCTGCTGTAATATAAACTAATTTTAAATAATTACCAAATTCATAACTCAATCAATGGCTATTAATAGTCACGTTGAGGTCTAAACAGACTTTAAAGAGACCTTCTCATACTTGAGAAAAATGGAAAGGACTAGCTTACCTGTTATGACTCTATTATCCTAAAAGGCAATATTACCTGTCTAACAGTAGCTAAACTACTTGCCATTTGCATGTGAGGAACTAATTATTCTCTAGATTTATGCCTTGCAATTTGGCATTTGATAGACATGTGAATTCATTGCTATAGACAATTCCCAGTGAGAAAACCCTTCTGCCAATGAAGACCAGAAATTGTTCTGCAACTTGTAGTCTTAAACCAGATGTTCTCAACTTTTTGTGCACCATGGACCCTTCGAGCAGCGTGGTGAGACCTATGGACCCCTCAGAACTGTTTTTAAATACTTAAAAACAAAATACATGGAATAACAAAGGAAATCAATTATATTTAAGTAAGATGTGATTTTTTTCCCCCATCCAAGTTCACAAACCCCTGAAATCTATGCACCAATGCCAGGTTAAGAGCCTTTGTCTTAAAGTTGACTGGGAAAGTGAGAGGGTAAGTGACTTTGCAAGGGTAACAAACAGAGCCAGAGGGAGGACTTAAACCCACGTTTTCCTGACTCCAAGACTGGCTCTTTACCCACAATGCCACAGTACCTCTCATGTCTTACAAATCCAACCTTTTTAAATAAAAGCAAACATTACAGTCTTCATTACATAAAATGCCTTGGTAAAAGGAATACCAAGACTGGCTGTTTAGTGAGTTCCCGAAGTGCAGTGAGCATTTTTTGGCTTACGTGAACTGCTAACTAGATACAGATTCCCATGGAGCTTATCACTATGGAACTTAGGTAGTTGAGCATATGATGATAACACTTCAACAGAAGAATTGCATAAGCACAAGTATATGAGAATTATACATCTTCACACCACAGAATTTAACGAAATTAAAATTAGAATTATTTTAGCTTGACAAATTAAATACATCTTTAAAAAATCATACTACTTGAAATATTTTCTAGTTAAGTCTTACTTGAGCCAAAGATGACTTGACACTGAGCATCATAAAATTGACACATGCCATTGTAACAGTAAGCTTTATTGTTGTGGCATGGGTGTCCATTTTGAATATAAACATCTAGCTGACAGAACTGAGATGAGCCATTGCAATACTCTGGGAGATCACACTCATTGGTACTTTGTCGGCATAGAGTACCTCCTGGAAGGAACTGGAGAAACAAAACTCAAATCAAACAAGAATATTCGCTCAATTTTAGTAAGTAAACCAAAGTTTGACACATCTTGTGCAATAACTCAACAAAGTCATTCCATCATGGCATAAAGGTGACCCTAGATATGCTTGGGGAAATACCTATTCTGAGAAGATCTACTTTGTTGGAAAGATTTTATGTACAGTCCTGGTGGAAGACTGAGTCTACTTACCAAAGACCAGCCTAGGTCAGTATGTAAAAGTTATCATAATATATAGCCTGGGAACTAAGTGATAAATTATCATATCACAGCAACTCATTAAATAAAAAAACTATATAAAACAGTCAGTCTATACTATATGTTCCCTTTCACCTCTGCAGTATAAGTGGCTGAAAAGAGGCCTCAAAGTAGTTAGAACCACAGTTTTTAGGTACTCAATAAATGTTTGTTGAATGACTGATCAAATATACCAAGGGCATTTGCAGTGGTACAATTTTCTTCAATGCCACAAACATACAACACATTAGAACCCAATAAAGCCATCTTCCCTAATCACCCAACAAAATAAGTACTTCTTTACTAGATGTTTCAGAAGGTAAAGGATTGATATTTTTATTTTTCAACAAAGAAAGCTTCCTTACCCGACAGTTTTTACAACAGTCACCATATGCACATTCAGCACCTGATTTAAGTTTACAAGTACTTGACTCACAGCAAGGGTCCAATTCACATTCCTGTAGATGATATAAATTGGCTGTCAGTAAAGAGGTAGGATAACAGTGTCAACACTGACTATTGATATCTATCTTGAAGAGAATAAAGAGATACTTTACTGAAATGCCAATTTTCATCCCCCTAACCTGACCAAATTAAATATCATTAGGACAGAAACTATTTCCAACCACTTGGATTTAACTTATGTTCTACAGGCATACAATACCATAAAATCACAAATGTCATATTAGTATCTATAACCAGGGCATCACCAGCTTCACCACTGGTACTAAACATCTTCAAATTCCTCAAAAGTAACCCCCATCGGTAGCTAATCCCTATTGCATATGGATTGCAGCTTCCCTGTATCTTCAAAGTGACTTTCCTATGACCTTTCTATATGTCTAGCTTCTTAATGAACTCCTCCAAATTCCTCATCTTGCTTTTGACTCATCTTTGGGAATGAGTTCCTATGCCCTGGCCCAACTTCCTCCTCTTCCACATCTGTTCTCAGGTGTTATCTCATGTGAAAAGGAGGTAGGAAACTCATTCATGGTTTAACATGTGGTTGCCCCTTTGAGGATATTTGCATCTTTAGCAGGTAGAAATGCCTTTGTCCAATTTTTTCTTTTTGTATTTTATCTTAGGATCAATAGGAAGCCGCTGACACTTCTTGGCAAGGAGTAGCATAGTCAGACTTAGGCTTTAGAAGTGTCACTTTGGCAGCTTATGGAAGGTGGCTTTAAGAGGAAAGTGGCTGGCGGGCTTCAGAAATCAATTAAGAGGCTGCCTAGTTCACCCGTATCGAAACCAGCAAATTTTTGAAGACTGCACCAGATTGAATAATGGTCAAGATATCCGAAGAAAAACTACAGTAAATGAAATGTTCTATCCCCCAAAAAGCATAAAAAGTCATATCTGGAATAACAGTGAGGGGCTTTAACTTTCCCCTCTCAGAATTACACAAATCTAAGAAAAAAAAATAAATGATAAAGTAGTTAGGGAGATGAATAAAATCTTAGATAAGTTAAATATGATAGATATCTGGAGAGAACTGAATGGGAATAGAAATGAATACACCTTTTTCTCAGTGGTACATGGTACCTTTTAAAGACTGACCACATATTTGGGCATAAAAATTCTACAGTTAAATGTAGAAAAACAGAAATATTAAATGCATACCTTTCAGATCACAAAGCAATAAAAACCATATTTATTAAATATAGTCTCTTATTAAGAGATCATGGAAACACAGAATAAAAACCAAATGGAGACTAAACAATTTAATTTTAAAGAAGGACTGGGTAGGGGCAGCTAGATGGCGCAGTGGATACAGCACCAGCCCTGAAGTCAGGAGGACCTGAGTTCAAATCTGGCCTCAGACCAAACACTTGACACGTACTAGCTGTGTGACCTTGGGCAAGTCACTTAACCCCGACTGCCTCACTTAAAAAAAAAAAAAAAGGAGTGGGTTAAAGAACAAATCACAGAAACAATCAATATTTTCATTAGAGAGAATGACAATGAAACAACTTATCAAAACCTATGGGATAAAGCAAAAGCAGTAATCAGAGGAAAAATTATATCTCTAAATGCCTATATCAATAAATTACAGAAAGAGCAGACCAATGAACTGGATATGGAATTAAAAAAAAAACTAGAAAAGTAATAAACTAAAAATCCTCAACTAAACACTATTGGAAATCCTAAAACTTAAAAGTGACATTAATAAAACTGAGTGTAAGAAAACCACTTAATTAATAAATAAAACTAGGAGTTGGTTTTATGAAAAAAATCGATAAACAATGGGTTAATATGATTAAGAAAAAGAGAGAAGAAAACCAAGTCACTGGTATTAAAAATGAAAGGGGTGAATAAGAGTAACAAAGATAAAATCAAAGCAATTATAAGGAGTTATTTTTCCTAAGTATATACCAATAAATTTAAAATTTAAGTGAAATGGAAGAATATTTACAAAAATATAAACAGCCTTGATTAACAAAGAAGAAAAAAATAACTAAATAAATCTATTTTAGAAACAGAATTTTAGAAAAGAAAAAGAACTTGAACAGGCTATAAATGTGCTTCTTAAGAAAAAAAGCATCAGGACTGCATTTACAACTGAATTCTACCAAACATTTGAACACCAACTAATTCCAACAATAAGTAAATTATGTGGACTGATAGGTAAAGAAGGGGTCCTACCACACTCCTTTTATAAAACTACGGTACTGTTATCTAAACCAGGAAGACTAAAAACAGAGAAAGAAAACTACAGATCAATAATAAAAGTAAAAAAAAAAAAAACCTTTTGATTATATCAATAGATGCAGAAAAAGCTGTTGATAAAATACAACACTCATTCCTATTAAAAAACATTAGAAGGTATAGGTATAAAAGGATTTTTCCTTAAATTAATAGGAAGCATTTACCTAAAACTATCAACAAGTATTATTTGTAATGGGGATAAGCTAGAAGCCTTCCCAGTAAGTTCAGAAATGAAATAAGAATGCTCATTTTTACCAACATTATTCAATACCGTATTAGAAATCCTACCAATAGCAATAAGAAAAAGAAATTGAAAGAATCAGAATGGGCAATGAGGTAATAAAATTATCTCTTTTTGCAAGTGATATGATGATATACTTGGAAAATTCTGAAGACTCAACTAAAAAGTTAGCTGAAATAATTATGATTTTAGCAAAGTAGCAGAATATAAAGCCCACATAAATCATCAGCACCCCTACATATCACCAACATAACCCTGTAAGAAGAGATAGTTAGAGATATTTCATTTAAAATAATTCTAGACAGTATAAAATACCTCAGAGTATACCAAAACAAACTCAGGAACTGTATGAACAAAATTATAAAAAACTTTTTATACAAATAAAATCATATTTAAATAACTGGAGAAATACTAATAGTTCATGGGTAAGCAGGGCCAATATAATAAGAATGACAATTTTACCTAAACAAAATTTATCCAATGCCATCCCAATTAAATTACCAAAAAATTATTTTACTGAGTTAGAAAAAATAATAACAAAACTCATTCACAAGAACAAAAGGTCAAGAGTATCAAAGAAACTAATGAAAAAAAATGTAAAGGAAGGAAATTTAGCAGTTCCAGATCTTAAGCTATATCATAAGGCAGTAATTATCAAAACTATCTGGTACTGGCTAAGAAACAGAAAGGTAGATCAGTGGAACAGAGTAGACCTAAAATACACAGCAGCAAATGATTATAGTAACCTTGTGTTTGACAAGTGTAAAGACTTAAGTTTTGGGAATAAGAATTCATTATTTGGTAAAAATTGTTCGAAAAGTCGTCTGGCAGAAATTAGGCATAGACCAGTGTTTACCATTTACCAAGATAAGATCAAAATGGATACATGACAGGGAGATGTCACAAGAAAATTAGAAAAACATAAAACATATTTCCTATCAGACTTATGGATAAGCGAACAATTAATGAATAAACAAGAGCTAGAGAGCATTGTGATGTATAAAATGGATGATTTTAATTACAATAAATTAAAAAGGTTTTGTACAAACAAAACCAATGTAGCCAAGATCAGAAGGAAAGCAGAAAATTGGGAAAAAATATTTATAGACAATTTCTCAGATAAAGGTCTCGTATCTCAAATATATAAAGAACTTTGTGAAAACTATATGGACATGTAAGCCATTCCCCAACTGATAAAGGTCAAAGGATATGAACAGGCAGTTTACCAATAAAGAAATCAAAACAATTTATAATCATATGAAAAAATGCTCTATAACATTACTGGTTAATGAAAATTAAAACAACCTTGAGATACCATTTTACATCTATTAGATTGACTAAAATGACAGAAGAGGAAAGTGACAAATGTTGGAGGGGATATGGAAAAAAACTGGGATGCTAATTCAATATTGGTGGAACTGTGAATTAATCCAACTATTTCGAAAGCAATCTGGAATTATGCCTAAAGAGTTATTAAATTGTTTATAACCTTTGACCTAGTAATACCACTACTAGTTTTGTTTCCCAAGTTGATTAGGGAAAAAGGAAAGGAACCTATATATTGAGATATATTTAAAGCAGTTCTCTTTATGGTGTCAAAGAACGGCAAACTGCAGGGATGTCTGGCAACTGCAGAAGAGCTAAACAAGTTGTGGTATATGATCATGATGGAATGTTACTGTGCTATAGGAAATGATGAGCTTATTGATTTTAGGAAAACATGGAAAGACTTGCATGAAATAATGAAGAGCAAAACGAGCAGAACCAAGAGAACGTTGTACCCAGTAACAGCAATACTGTTTTAAGAACAATTTTGAACAACTAAGTCATTTTGAGTATTATAAATATTCAAATCAACTACAAAGGACCTATCAAGAAAGATTCTATCTGCCTCCAGAGAAAGAACTGATAAATAGAAGTATGTATGTATAGTACGATTTCTCGCACACACAGAGACATTTGTGTCTAATGGTGGCCATCTCTAGGGCGGGGAAGGGGGGATATTAAAAGTGCACAACAGAGAATAAAAGAAAATTTAAAAGGAAACATAGAAAGCTGAGTAGCTTTAAAAATAACATATGGTACTTAACATATAGTTTTTCAAAAAAAGTAAACAGTGTGAAATGAAAATTCATGGTTTTATAGTGAATCCTCTTCTTATGTTGTGCTGTGTACATGAAAATGTTTCTTTTTTTGTCTTTATGTATTTAAGTTCAAAATGAATGATTAAAAAAAGCAGAATTCAAAAACTGTCATAATAATTACTGACCTTTGGAGACCCACAGTCACATTCTTCCCCAAGATCTATTATTTTATTACCACAGTAAGGGGCACTGTATGCTTCATCAGGTTTTGGAATATTAAGTAGACAGGTTCCTCCTTTATTTAATGTTAAATTCTCAAAGTCATCTGCACTGCAGCTACTAAAGTTTCTGGAACCTCTAAAAGAAATACAAGGAGGAAAGTTTTTATGTTATTTTGCAAGCCTGAAAATTTAACTAAACCAAAAGAGTGAAAATAAATTTTTCATATTGCATCATAAAACAGAAAGTACTTGCAAGAATTCATATTTATTTGGAAAAAAATAAAACATTTTTAAAACTAATACACAAAGATCCTCTTCTCTAACAGTGTATATACCACCACAATGATGATAACTCACATTTATACAGTAGTGCTTTACGGTTTGCAAAACATTTTATGTCCATTTTCTTGTTTGATCATGAGAAGCATTTGCAATAGATATCCTTTACTACAACATAGTAAATGAAGCTCACATTTATAAAATGCTTTAAGGTTTACAAAGCATTTCACCTACAGCATTCCGTTAAAATTAAAACGTTTTCCTCATAGCACGGCTGTTACTGTTGTTTAGTCATTTTGGTAGCGCCCAATTCTTTTACATCCCATTTTGGGGTTTTCTTGGCAAAGATGCTGGAGTGGTTTGCCATTTCCTTCTCTAGCTCATTTTACAGATGAGGAAACCAAGGCAAACAGGGTGAAGTGACTTGTCCAGGGTCACACAGCTAGTAATTGTCTGAGGCCAGACTTGAAGTCAGGAAGATGATCTTCTTGATTCTAAACTCAGTGCGCCACCAACCTGCCCCTTCATAGCACAGAACAAGTACAACTACCCAGTTTGCAGATGAGAAGGTGAGACTCAGAAAAAGTGACTTGCCAAAGGGGAAGCCATAAGTGACAAAATCAGGACAAGAACCCAGGAAATCTCCTTCCAAATCCTTGGGTTTTTCTTCCCCAGTATGTTATACTGCCTCTATAATTTCACTGTATTCTTCAAAACATATTCTTCAAATCTAATAGCTAAATGTCAACCTCCAAATCACACAGAGCTCTTTGTAACTGGTTCTAAAGTCCTATTTTCTTGGCTATAAACAGTCTAACATAAACAGCTCTTAACATCTATATTTTCTTGATTACAAATACCTAATATATGCAGATAATAGCATCTGTATAACACCCCCAATATACCAGAGTCCAACATATATAACATATGTGTGTGTATATCTCTATCTAGATATAGATCTATATATTCTTGAGTGCAAGGACTGACTGTGTCTTTCTGTATCCCCACTGCTTAGCAAAGTGCCTGACACATAGCAGGTGCTTAATGTTTATTGTACATACATACTTAAGTCACCAATCCATAGTTAATTAGCATATATCTTATCCAGACACTGTAAATGCACAACGAACTGAGTTTAAAATTGAACAGGAAGAGAATGGGCTGGATTGTCTTTGGGAAAATGTGCAATATTTTTAATTACTCCAAATTTCTCATTGAATCAAGGGTCATGGAATATCACAGCCTCTGAATAATTAAAACTATAGATAACAATTACAAGGTATATGATGAATAGAAGTTTGTGGTTGTTGTTCAGTCATTCAGACATGTCTGACTCTTCGTGACCCCACAGACTACACTGTCCATGGGATTTTCTTCGCAAAGATACTGGAGTGGTTTACCATTTCCTTATCCCATGTACTGAGGCAAACAGAGGTTAAGTGACTAGCCCAGGGTCACATATATACTAAGTGTATATGGCCAGATTTGAACTCAGGAAGATGTCTTCCTGACTGTAGACTCAATGTTCCATCCACTGAGACATCTAACTGTCCCCAAAACATGAATAAGTCTCAACATATTACCAGAGGAGAACTAAAAAGGAGGAATGCCATATCATTAGAGTGATGTAAATGTAAAAGGAGGTGGGCCAGACAGGTGTAGTACAGGAAAACTGAAGGATAGGCCGTATATTCCATTAGTGTCCACAAAACGTCAAGAAATCAGGAGCAGGATATTTGTTGGATATCTTGTGGAGGATTTACAAGAAAGCCTGGATAAGAGTTGAATATGCAGTATGTATAGGTTGAGACGTACACTACTAAAGTAAATACAGATATCAATAAGTTCATAGATTCATACCAAAGTATGGCAGAATAGTCATATGTTTTCACTTCTAATCCCACCCCTTTGATGGAAATGCCACCTCCATCATCTCTTATGCATAATTCTCTCCCCTAAGTTTTCACAATTATTACTAACCATGTTCACAGAAATTACAATAAAGCCCAGATATTCATGTCAATTAGTCAGTCAATAAACATTTAAGTGCCAGGCACTTTGCTAAGCACCGGGATACAAAGTAAAGTAAAAGACGGTCCCTGCCCTTGAGAAGCTCACAATCTAACGATAAAGACAACATACAAATAACTGCAAACAAAAGTTACATACAGGATAAATGGAAGATGATCAACAGAAGCAAGTTAAGAGAATTAAGAATTCTTTTATCGGGAAAAGCTTCCTGTAGAAGGTGGTATTTAAATTGAGGCTTGAAGGAAAACTGGAAAGACAGGAGGCGGAGATTAGGAGGGAGAGCATTCCAGGCACATGGAATAGCCAGTGAAAATATGTGCAATTGAGAAATGGGAGCTATCTTGTTAGAGGAACAACAAGGAGGTTGGTGTCATGTCAGAGTACATGGCACTAGAGTCTAAGATGTAAGAAGACTGGAAAGGTAGGTGGGGAGGGGCAAGTTATGACAGGCTCTAAACACCAGACAGAGGATTTTATATTTGATCCTGGAGATAACAGGGAATCACTGGAGTTTATTTAGTAGGTAGGTGATATGGTCAAACCTGCACTTTAGGAAGATCACTTCCTTAATACAAAAAGGTTAATAATTTTAAAATTCTAACCTATCTTATTTTTACAGATTAGGAAACTGAGGCACAAAGACTACATGTCTTGGGCAAGGTCTTTTATACATTATTTGACGGCAAAATCAAGGCTAAATCCAGGTTTCCAAATACCTATCCCCGTGCTCTACCGCACCACAATGTCTTCAAGTCAACAGACAACTATGAAACAAATACAGTTGAATGCTTCTGTTGTCATTGTTTTAATTTGTGTTTGGTTATCTCCAAACCCCTCAAAAAGGTGGGAGGGAGGAAAGGGAAGTAGTTTGTTTCTCTAATCTCTGTCAGTAGTTTTCACAACAACAAAGAACAGTTTTCAAAATGTGTTTATAGAGTCACATGGTCTGGGAGCATCCTCCAAGTGGTCTACAGGTGTTAGCTTCTGGCAAAAACAGAAAGATACAGTAGAGCACTGGATTTGGACTTAGAAGACTGAGAAGTTCAAATTCTGGTTGTGACACATACTGACTGTATAACTAAATGAAGCCATATAAATCTATCTGAGCCTCATTTTACAAATCTGGAAAAAAGTAATCATAGGATTCAGAGCTGGAAGTGCCTTTAGAGATTATCATGTCCAACCTTTTTTTTTTTTTTTTTTAACAGGTGTGGAAACTGAGACCCAAAGAATGAATTAAAGCTATTAAACCAAAAAGGTGAAGAGTTGAGACTCAGCTAGTCTCCTGACTTCAAAGTTCATTGTTTTCCATGTTGCAGTCTTTGTACTGCCTACCACACAATTGTTATGAGAAAAGGTCTTTTTTAAAGTTTTACAAGCATTAAAGCATTACATAAATGTAAGTTACTATTCAAGTTTTTAATACGTTTATATTTTTATTTCATAAATTAATAGCTTCTTTGTGATATTTAACTTCTAAAATAACATGATGGAAACTCATTCATTCAAGTTTGAGGATCATTTCTCTATTTTACTATTTATTCCAAGGCCAAGGAAGAAAACATTTGACTCACGATGCTCCTGAATTCATGATGCAGCTCTTTGCTCCACAACTGCAGTTTCTCCCATCATCATGGTTCATTCCCAAGTTATGTCCCAACTCATGAGCAACGATGGATGCAAAGGTCTCCACGCTGATTTGTCCAAACTATACAAAAGGAGGAAGGTGATTAGGGAGTGCTATTTCTCAAAATTATTTGCTCAACAAAAAGAATTTCACTCAGTTTTAATAAGGTATTCTACTAAGGGCAGAATATAAACCAGCATTTACATGAATGCCTTTTGGACCTGCATGTTCAAGATATCAGCAATATATGAATTTAAATGCAAGGATTTTTAAATAGCAACTGATGGGGGAAATTTTAAATAGCTTCTGAGAAACAAAGTGATAGTCTCAGTTTTCACGGACTGATGACATTGTAACTTCATCTATTTTTTAAAAGGGATAGTTCAAAAGAATACCCAAGTATTAGCATATTTCAATCACAATCTTTATTGGAAGGCAAAAGAGCTAAGATTACAACCAAGAATCACCTGCCTAGTAAAACAGTATAATCCTTCCAGGGGAAATGGACACTTAATGAAATAAAAGACTTGCAAGGATTCCTAATTAAAAAATCAGAGATGAACAAAAAAAATTTTGATCTCAAGAGAAGCATTAAAAGGTAAACAGGAAAGAGAAAACATAAGAGACTCAGTAGGGTTAAATTGTTTATATTCCTACATAGGAAGCTGATACTTGTAACTCTTAAGAACCTTGTCACTATTAGAGTAATTAGAAAGAGTATACATAGACAGAGGGTGCAAGTATAAGTTGACTATAATGAGATAATATCCAAAAAAAAGAAAAATTAAAGGGTGAAAAATAAGACTGCACTGGGAGAAGAGGGAAAGAAGAGATATAATGGGGTAAATTATCACACATAAAAGGAGCACAAAAGAACAGTAGAGGGGGAAGTGGGAGGGAGGAGTTGGCAGATATGCTTGACCTTTACTCTCATCAGAATTGGCTCAAAGAAAGAATAACATAAAAACAGTTGGATAAAGAAATCTATCTTACCTTACAGGAAAGCATAAAGGGATGGGGAATAGAGAACAGGAGGAGGGAGAACTCATAAAAGGGAGGGCAGATCTGGGGGAGCAATGGTCAGAAGTAAAACATGTAAGACAGACAGGTGAAAGACAAAGAGAAGGAGAAACAGGAAAAATAGGAGGGTGGGAAATACAGTTATCATAACTGTAAATGTGAATGAAATAAACTCATAATACACTCAGTGAAATAAACTCATAAAATAGAAGTGAATAGCAGAATGGATTAAAAACCAGAATCCTACAATATGTTGTTTCCAAGAAAACACATTTGAAGCAGACAAACACACACACATAGTAAACATAAGGGGCTAAAGAGGAATCTATTATGATATAGTTTAAGTAAAAAAAAGCAGGAGTAGCAATAGTGATCTCAGACAAAGTAAAAACAAAAATAGATCTAATTAAAAGAGATAAGGAAGGAAATCATATCTTGCTAAAAGGTACAATAGACAATGAAGAAATATCAATACTAAACATATATGCACCAAAAGGTATAGTACCTAACTTTTTAAAGAAGTTATTAAATGAGTTACAGGAGGAAAAAGATAAGAAAATTATATTAATGGATGACCTCAACTTTCCTTCAGAACTAGATAAATCTAACCAAAAAATAAACATGGCGTTAAGGAGACAAATAAAATTTTAGAAAAATTAGATATGATAGACCTCTGGAGAAAAGTGAATGGGAATAGAAAGGAATGTACCTTTTTCTCAGCAGTACATAGCACCTAAATGAAAACTGACCATGTATTAGGGTATCAAAATCACACAACCAAATGCAAAAAAAGTAGAAATATTAAAGGCATCCACTTAAGATCACAATGCAATAAAAATTACATTCATTAAAGAGCAGTGGAAAGATATATTAAAAATTCAATAGAAACAAAATAATCTAATCCTAAAGAATAAGTGAGTCAAAGAACAAATCATAGAAATAATTTCATTAAAGAGAATAACAATAAGGCAACATACCAAAACTTATAGGATGCAGCCAAAGCAGTACTCAAGGGAAAATTTATATCTCTATACACTCAATAATCTCTGAATGCTTAATGAAATAAAAAAGGGCAAATCAATGAACTGGGCATGCAACTAAAAAAACCTAGAAAAAGAACAAATTAAAAATCCTCAATTAAATATCAATTGGGAATCCTGAAAATCAAGAGGAAGAGTAATAAAAATGAAAGAAAACCACTGAACTAACAAATAAAACTAGAATCTGGTTTTATGAAAAAATATCAATAAAATAGATAAACCATTGGTTAATATGGTTTTAAAAAGGAAAGAAAAAAATCAAATTACTAGTATCAAAAATGAAAGGGGTGAATTCACCACCAATGAAGAGGAAATTAAAGCAATTACTGGGAACTGTTTTACTCAATTACGTCAATAAATCTGATGATTTAAGTGAAATAGATCAGTGTTTTTTAAACTGTGGGTCCCTGAAGGGGTCACCAGTGGAAAAAAGCTTAAGAAGCACTGAAATAGATGAATATTTGCAAAAGTATAAACTGCCCAGAATAATGAAAGAAGAAATAGAATAAATAACCCTATCTTAGAAAAAGAAATTGAACAAACCATCAATGAACTCCCTAAGAAAAAAATCACAGGGCCAAATGGGTTCACAAGTGAATTCTAAGAAACATTTTAAGAACAATTAATCCCAATACTATATAAATTATTTGGAAAAATAGGTAAAGAAAGAGCCCTATGAAATTCCTTTTATGATACAAATATGATGCTGATATCCAAACCAGGAAGAGCCAAAACAAAGAAAGAAAACTATAGATTAATTTCCCTAATGAAAACTGATTAAAAAAATTTTAAACAAAATACTAGCAAGAAGATTATAGCAATATATCACAAGGATCATACACTATGACCAACTGAGATTTATGTGAGGAATGCAGGGCTAGTTCAATATTAGGAAAACTATCAGAATAATTAACCGTATCAACAACAAAACCCATAGAAATCATGATTCAATAGATGCGGAAAAAGTCTTTGACAAAATATAACACCCATTCATAATAAAAACACTAGAGAGCATAGGAATAAATGGAGATTTCTTAAAATAATAAGTAGTATCTATCTAAATCCATCAGTAAGCATTATCTGTAATGGGGAACACTAGAAACTGTCTCAATAAAATTAGAGGTGAAGCAAGGATGCCCATTATCACCACTATTATTCAATATTGTACTAGAAATGTTAACTATAGCAATAAGGGAAGAAAACAAAATTGAAGAAATTAAAATAGGAATGAGGAAATAAAACTATCACTCTTTGCAAATGACATGACAGGATACTTAGAGAATCAACTAACAAACTAATTGAAATAATTAACAACTTTGGCAAAGTTGCAGGATATAAAATAAACTCACATAAATCATCAGCATTTTTCCATGTTACCAACAAAGGCCAGCAGTAAGAGAGAGAAAGAGAAATTCCCTTTAAAATAACTGTAAATGATATAAAATACTTAGGTGTCTACTTGTCAAGACAAACTCAGGAATGAACGACATGAACACAACCACAAAACACTTTTTACACAAATAAAGTCACATCTAAACAACTGGAAAAATACTAATTGCTCATGGGTAGGCTGAGCCAATTATTTAAAAAATGACAATTCTACTTAAATTAATATACCAATTTCATGCCAAACTACCAAAAAATTATTTTACAGAGCAAGAAAAATAATAACAAAATTCATCTGGAAGAACAAAAGGTCAAGAATATCAAAGGAATCAATGAAAAAAATGTGAAGGAAGGTTACTGAGCCATACCAGATTTCAAATGGTATCATAAAGCAGTAAGCATCAAAATGATATCAGTGGGCTAGATTAGGTACACAATACATTGTAGTAAATGATAGTGTTTGATAAACCCAAAAATCCAAGCTTTTGGGACAATACCTCACCATCTGACAAAAACTGCTGGGAAAACTGGAAAACAGTGAGGCACAAATTAGGTATAGACCAACATCTCACACCACATACCAAGATAAGGTCAAAATGGGTACTTAATTTAGACATAAAGGGTAATACCTAGGCAAATTAAGAAAGCATGGAATAATTTACCTGTCAGATATGGATAAGAGAAGAACTTAGGACAAAATAAGATATGGAGAGCATTACAAAATATAAAATGGTTAATTTTAATCATATTGAATTTTAAAAGTTTTGCATAAACAAAACCAATGAAATCAAAATTAGAATGAAAGCAAAAAACTGGGGAAAATGTTTTTATAGCAAGTATCTCTGATTAAGGCCTCATTTCTCCAATATATAGAAAACTGAGTCAAATTCATAAGAACACAAGTCATTCCCTAACTGATAAATGGTCAAAGGATATGAACAAGCAGTTCTCAGATGAAGTAATCAAAACTATCTAGAGTCATATGAAAAAATGCCCTAAATCACTACTGATTAGAGAAATGCAAATTAAAACAACTTCAAGGTACCACTTCATACCTATCAGTTTGTCCAACATGACAAAACAGAAAAATGATAAATGTTGGAGTGAATGTGGGAAAATTGGGGCATTAATGCGTGGTTGGTGGAGTTGTAAGATGATCCAACTACTCTGGAGAGCAATTTATAGCCAATGGGCTATAAAACTGTGCACACCCTTTGATCCTCCAATACCACTACTAGGTATACATCCCAAAGGATCAAAAAAGGGGGAAAGGACTCATTTGTACAAAAATATTTATAGCAGCTCTTTTTGTGGTGGGTAAGAATCGGAAACTGAGGAGATGCCCATCAATTGGGGAATGGATGAACAAACTATGGTATATGATTGTAATGGAGTACTACTGTGCTATAAGAAATGATGAGCAGGATGATTTCAGAAAAACCTAGAGAGACTCACATGAATTAATGCAGAGTGAAGTGAGCAGAACCAGAACACTGTACAAAGTAACAGCAATATTGTACAGTGAACAACTGTGAATAACTTAGCTATTTTCAGCAATACAATGACTCAAGGCAATCGCAAAGGACTCATGAAGAAAAATGCTATCCACTTCTAGAGAAAGAAGTGATGATGTTTGAATACAGACCGAAGCATACTATTTTACACTTTCTTTTTTTTTTTGTTCAAGTTTTCTTGCACAAAATGACTAATGTGGAAATATGTTTTACATGACTACACACATACAACCTATACCAGATTGCAGACTGCTTATCATCTCATGGAGGGGGGAGGGCAAAGAGGGAGGTATAATATTTAGAGATCAAAACTTTAAAAAAAAAAGTTAAAAATCATTTTAACATTTAACTTGGGGAAAAAACTAAAATGTCATTTAACAAATAGACAGCTACACAAGTAGATAAATGAATAAATAAATGAGCAGTAAATAAAAAAGCAACATACCACATTAATGCCTCCTGCATGGCTTCTTGAACACACTGTTCCCACAAATGCCATTCCTGCAGTCCCTCCAAAGCCCTTCTTCCTGAATTGCCAGAGGAAGAAAAAATGTAACTTGACTAATAAAGTAAAACATCTTTTCTGCTGGTTAGGATGATGTCATCAGATTTGTCACGAGGAAACAGTAGTAGGAAAAGCTGTGTCAAATATATAGTCAGAATCGAACAGAGCAACATTGCAATGATGTCATCGAACATTGCTCATCCATTGTAATAAATGTTTTCCACATAATTAGATTTGTTCAGTAACTATAACATACTCTTTAAAATAACTAAACTTGCTTAAATTAAAACACTTTAATGGAAATCCTCCTAAACAGTATTGTACAATTATAATAGCTTATATTTCCATAGTCTTTTAGGGTTTACAAAGTGCCTTCTTCTCAGAAGCCCTGATGAAGGGCTTTGTACAATTTATCCTTTTGTAGGGGCTAAGTGGAACAGTAGATAGAGCACTAGGCCTGGTGTCAGGAAGATCTGAATTCAAATCCAGCCTCAGAGACTTAGTAGCTGTGTCACCCTGGGCAAGTCACTTACCCCTGTTTGCCTCAGTTTCCTCAACTATAAAATGAGGATAATAATAGCATCTACCTCCCAGGGTTATAGTGAGGATCAAATGAAATAATATTTGTAAAGCAGATAGCACAGAGCCTGGTACATAACAGGTGCTTAATAAATGTATGTTTCTTTCTTTCTTTCCTTCCTTTTATACATTTTTAAATAGTTAGGGAGAGTAAGCTGCTTACACATTAACTAAGTACCAAATGTGGTACTTGAACCCAGGTCTTCTGACTTACTATCCCATACCACCTCTTATATTCCCTGTCTTTTTAAAAAGGATATTGTACTTCATCTCTTCACTGGAACAGATAAATACCCTTCCACAACTTAGTACCCAGAGAGCTCTCATGAGCTGTTGGTGTCAAATAAATTTCCCTATTATCCCAAACCCTGTTCTTCATTATTATTGTGACAACCATTCCTTTTATCCCTCCATTCATTCCCTTGTACTGGCTATGCTCTTGTCTCTTCCCAATCTCAACCCCTTTCCAAAGAAACTCAATTCTTCAGTATCCTTTACATTCATGCCCTTTGTCTACCTTGTCCTATGACTAATCATGACTTTCCAAAATGCAACCCAATATTACTCTTACCATCAGTGGTTGCCGTCCATAACCCAGTACTGCCCTTGTTCTTATTCAAGCGCTATTGATCAGAGCTAAAGGAACCAGAAAACCCCTATAAATTTATTATATCTAAGGTTAATAGGGCTCTCACTACATTAACACAAACATTCTAATCTTACCTAGTCGATTCTCTATTCCATTCTCCTCAGCAACTGTTCTAAATCTCATGAATCCTCAAGCTTCCCAAAGTACACTCTCACTTGACCCACTCTGCTGAGAACATCACATCACATTCCTTTAAAAAATTTGAGTTTGTCTGCTAATGTTATTTGACACTATTATGAAGGAGGTGTACCACAAAGTCCAAGTTGATTCTGTATAGATGACAAAGTCTTCAAGATATTCCTATGTATAATTATTTACACATAGGAATAGTGTAATAAATGTAATAATAATGTAATAAAATCATTGTAATGCATTTATTCACTAAAAGTGACCACAGTCACTTAAGAGAGTTTGATCTTTATACTAGAAAGGAAAAATTCAGCTCATGAAAAATATCTATTAACTTGATTATACTATGTAGTTGGAAAGGCAACCTACAGAGTTTTCTATCAATGGCTTGGACAAACAATACAACAGAAAATGAGTTAGGTCCAAGGGGAAGGTGGGTTACAAAGTGTTTGAGGAAAGGTACAGTTCTTTCAATGACCTCATGCTTCTTTCTGGGGAAAAAAAAGAAAAAGAAAAAAAAGGTCTATCCTTTTTAATACTAGTAATCATCTAGCAAAGTTGTCTGGCTTTGAGATACAGAATACTGGTCTCTGAAAAACTGAAGTTGAGGCTCACCCAAGGACTACAGGAAGGGGCATGGTAGATGTGAGCAGGTTGCAAAATACTGTCAATAAGGAATTTCTTAGGAAAAGTGTTAAAAAGTAAATCATTGGATAAATAGATAGCTAGAAAAAAATGGGTCAGTCATATAGCAGGAATGAAAAACAACCAATATAGCAGGAATGAAAAACAACCAAGGAACAGTCAATGTGAACTATTAGTATCCACACAATGGGAAAATAATGCAAGGAAGGTTCTCAATATGTTGAATGGACTTTGTAACAAAGCTAAGGGAGGCAATGAACAAATACCAATGAATGAGTAGGCACAAGAAGTCTGTGATTTTACTATCAGAGGCAATTCCTACTAATGAGATCACAGGTTAATAGCAATATTGGATTATTTGACGTTTGCTCTAATTAGTCAATGGTATAACTGCATTCAGGAAACCGATTTAAAAATGAATCCAAAATTCATAACTAGTCATCTCCTATCTGTCAGATATACAGTCAATTTCATTAAAAAATAAAAATAATATTGCTCACTTCTCACAACGTCCAGTGCTTTCCAACTCTTTCTGAAGAAAACACCTATATGTCCTTACAAATATATGACCCTTCTGCCAAATACACAAGCCTTTGACTCTTTCATTTCTTACTACTGGACCTTATTTTCTATTAAATTTTTCTCCATTCCAGCCTCATCTTCATACTAACGTTACCAGAATCAAGGTCTATGCCGATGCTTTGGAGAATCTTTTTAAGTTTTTCATAAAAGTTATCTATCTCTTCAGCCACTACAATACAAGTTGGCATATAAACAGCAATTATTTTACTGGTCTTTTTGCTTATGCTCGTTATAAAGACTACAAAGTAAGATGGTCAAGTGGCCCATATGTCATGATGTCTCTTTTTTCCTTTGGGTGAACAAAGAAACCAATTCTCCCAACTTCTTTATTTACTTCTCTAAGAATAGCCTGGGACTCTCCCTAACATTTAGTTATAACTTCCTTATGTGCTCCAGTTTTATCTATACCAAAAATGTCAACATTAATTTGGTTCAATTACTCTAATAGTACTGCATAGTCACTCACTGGTCATGGGACAAAGATCTCTACATTTAAAACCCAACAGTAAATGTTTATAGATAATCTAATAACTACGTACTTCAATAATTCCCTTTGCCCCTTTTCTACCATTCTGCCATGGTCACTGTAGAAGAGGCAGAGGACTTCCTTAGACCAATGGAGATTTTGTATTCTTTGTTTCATGGACTGCCACAGCCAAAAAATTCATCATCTAGTGACCAACCCACCAGTTCTGAACCCCTTCATACTTTACTAGGCTTGTTCTTGAGGAAAGAAAAAGAAGACCAGAGCTTGCTGCTGGTACTATAGTCAAAGCCTTGATAAAACCTTCCAGAGCTTGTGGTCTGGTGGTATAGTTTTCAAGAACTCAGGTTCACCTCCACATCACAATAAGCGATCAGAATGGGATGATATCAAAACGGGAAGACCAAAATGTATGACTTAATGAACATACTATACTTTACACAATTATGAAAATACTGCTTGTCAAAGTAATAAATTCAAGGTGGCTATACGTTTATTCCCAAGATGTACTGCCCAAAATATTTTAAAACTACTTTTGGAATTGCCATCAGAAACAATTTATGAACCACAGATAAAAACTTATTTTTACCCCCAAATAGTATAACCTGCTAACTTACTCACTTTGCTGACCAGAAACATTTCTCCAAATAACTTTTGGTTATTTCCAAAAGTCAGATCTACCCTCACAAGACAAAGATTTTTAAAAATGTAGTGCTGACTCTGATGGCCAAAAAACGAGTTCCAAATATAAACTGAACAATGGAAGCATCTTCTAAACAAAATGCAGAGATTTCCACAGTAATTAATTTGAAGGGAACGACACTCGCTTGGCTGCACAAGTTCTGTTCAAAGCCAGTCATTACCTCGCAGTCATACTCTGAGTTTTCAATTTTGCCTAAGGCTTAGAAGCCTTGAGAGAAAACAGTAGCAATAAATGTGATTATCAAATAATTATCACTTTTTAATAAGACTATTTGAAATAAAAAAAAAATCACCTACAAAACTAACTGTGCACTGTCATGTCTCCGACGTGGAATCAGTGACTTCTCTCGCCATTGTACGAAGTTCCCCAACACATCACCAGCACTTCCAGCCGTACTGATTTGGTTTGAGCTTGTCCAAATCTCTAGCCCAACGAGTACGATGTGGATATTTAACATAATGTACATCTGGAAAAAAGAAAAATACACCACCCAAAAATGCATTTAAGAACATGGGCCAAAAAAAGAGTGTGGGACAGATGTCATCCATGTAAGTAAAACAATTATAACTAAGTCCCACGGAAATTGTTTCCTTTGTTAATAAAATGCCATTAGTTTTCTTCTGAATACATACCTTGGTATTACCTTAGAGATAAAGCTACTTTACAACTTTATACCAAATTACAAGGAGACAGTGGGTATAGTTGACAAAGTGACAGAAGTGGAGTCAGGAAGACCTAGGTTCAAATCCGATCTCTAAGACTTAGTAACTGTGTGACCATAGGCAAGTCACTGCCCTCTCTTAGCTTCAGTTTCCTCATCTACAAAATGAGGACAATGATGACACCTATCTCCTAGGGTTGCGTGATGGTCAAATAAGAGAATATATATAAGAGCACTATGCAATATTTAGTGCAAATATTGTTATACCAAAGTTTTCACTGTAGAAGGGAATTCTTATTTTAAAAGTTTCCCCTTAATAAGAATATGGAGATACTGTCAGTAAAAGTCAAATATTCCTAGACAAGTACTTTGAGGGCTAACAAGTTGATAGAGACTTCTCTCCATCTAAAATCATTAACTCTATCCACAAAAATATAATATTAGTTGAAGCAACATTACTAAAGGAATTGAGTTCCATGAAAACTACATAACAAGTATTTTAAGGAGGCTATCAATCAAATAATATAATATTATTTATATATAACAATGTTGTTACAATATATTATGTTACATATAATAACATAACATTATTATAATATTATTTGATTGACATTATTAATACTGTAATATTATAGTAAGGTTTCACATATATTGAAATGACATTGTCAGATCAACCTTACAACATATGTTCCATGAAATTAGGAGCTTTATAGTTTTAAAAGTATTTTTGATACACCCACTACACCTTTACTTCTGTTTCAAACATAACAAGTATCACAAAGCAGGACAGTCTGCAAATCTAAGAAATAAAGCTCTGTACGACTCAAAGTTAAACACCACCAACTCCCTGGATGACTCAGAGTTCAAACTGAGAAATTTACAATCCATTCTGAAGGTCTGATATAAACAATGAATATTTTACCATGCCATTAACCACAACTCACACTATCCAAGTAGTTTGCTAAATGAACCATCTCTTCCCTCACAGCAGTCTGATTACTCCCCATCATGTCATACTGAAAAACAAAACAAAAAAAAAGAAGAAAGAAAATGACTATCAGGATAAGTAAAATGACAAAAGTGTAGTCTGAGAAGGGATTTTAAAAAACAACAACAACAAATTAGTATGATTAGCTTACAAATCTTAACATCTATGTCTAAAGTTAAGGACAATCTGTAGAAGACAACAAGACAGATAAAGGGAATTAAACATAAAATGATATGGTTTTCAAAAACGTGAAATAACCCAAATGTTCCTCCAAATAAGCAAGGGTTTAAAAGTCAGTAAAGTTAACTGTAATATTTAGACCAAATTTATACTCATTTAAAAATAAAACAGGTTTAATAATATTATAGTACAGAAGGTTTATACTTTGAAGTTTCAAAAGATGTGCTTCATCATTGATGTTAAGTATTCCCTCCACCAAGGCAGGTCACAAAACTTTCACAAACCATCAGTAGACTGCCTTCATGAGCTGCCTTGGCACAAAACTGAATAAATAAAATTGCCTGGTAGTTGACCTTCTGGAGATGAGAGGAAAGGTTTAAAAGTATAAAAACATCTAATGACCTTAAATTATTATCAGGTCAATTAAAAAAAACAGTAGTTCTCAAAGGCTGTATCATAAAATTTTGCATATTATTGCAGATGAAAGATTATACATGGTACAATGGTATAATAAGTATAGTATTCACAAAATAAACAAAACATCTCTTAGACATAAACATTAACCTCAAAACACTTCAGACAGTGAACTTTCAAAGAACTTAACAAACACAACTGCTTTTACTAAAAGGGAAACTGTGCATTTGCAAGTCTCCTGACTCTCCTACTGTGGCTAACTTACATGTTCAGTGGGCCATGATCCCTCACATCAAAAAATAATATTGTACTATAAACAAAAATGGCTGGGACTGATTTGTCTAAGAAAACTGATGGAACATTTTTCTTTGATAAGTCAAAGAAGGGCAGTTTAAAAGCACCATCATCAATCATTTTATGTGCTAGATTTTATATGTGACTAGAGTTCAACCAAAACAACTGGTTTTAAACGGAAATATATGGTTAGTCCATTTGTCATATAAAGTAAAACAATTAGTGTGACTAATTTTATTCACCAAAAAAAAAAAAAAGGTTACTTTGATACTATGTGGACACAAAGAGATTAGACCTGTGATTTCACTAGCAGAGGAAAAACCCTGGCAAGGAAACTCTTGATAAATGCAGGTAAACAACTTCTCTGTGATTTACATATGATCTAAGTAAGAAAATGTTAATCATTTAACCAAAGGGTAAATATTCAAGATAATTTATGATGTTGTTTTTATAGTCTTTTAAAAAGATGAGACAAATTGAACAAATCGAAGTTCTTTTTAAATCAAATTAGTCATAGGAGGGGTTGAATGAAATTTAGGTATTTACTATCAAACATTTTTGTTTCAATGTAACATTTCTTCTAGGGACACAGCATATACAGTTAAAAGAACCTTTGAAATACTGCAGTATCTACTTCTGTGATTTTTCAAATACACTCTATAGATGATTTACTCATTATTAGGGACACAACTCACATTGATTTATCTTCCCTATGCTTTATGCCTTTTACCACTTAAAGGGCATGAACCTATAATGAACAAATCTGAATCTCAGTTTCTGAACGTCATCAAGTTGTACTCTGAACCTATCCCACTAAATACATATATTTATACATACATACTCACTTTCAGACAGATTCATATTGTCAATATTTAGTTTTTCGCCCCCCACAAATACAGAACTGAGCGGTATGAGTATGTATCTATACACACATATGTGTATATTTATAATGGTCATCATCCCTACACATAAAACCTAGTTAGAAGGGATGTCTAATCACGTTAACTTCTCTGCATTTTTAAGAACAGTGCTGATAGCATTCTAGGAAGGAACCAAGAGCAGAGGCAATTCTTTTACATGGTTACATTGTAATGGTTATGTAAAACTGATGAAGCTGAGAGTGTTATCTTCTTATGAACAAACAAATTCCCTTGTCACCATCTGGGTTCACTGTGCCATTTCATCAATGAACTTAGGGCTGAAAGAAGATTTTATCTTTCTGTTATTCTTTTGTTAATCCCAGTCCAACTTCCATGTACAGTAAAACGGGCAGGCCTCCAGCTTATGAAGATATACGACTATCTGAAATTCCTGGGAGAAGAGTCTGATCAAACAATAAAGTAGCACCTGATGCGCTTGACTCATGTTCACTAAGGGATCTAAATTAAGAAAGGTCTCAATGCCTGCCTTCATAGTCAGAAAAGGTTCAGTCAAGGTAAGCTATGAGAATGTGACGGAAGAATTCCTAGGAAAGATATTTCAAAATAGAAAAATCTTGGATTTTCTCCACAGTAATATGCTCACTCTTTGCCTATCTTTTCAAATAAAATAAGAAAAATATTCAATAATCTTACCTTTTCTTTGTCTACAACTATGAACAGCTCCACATATCTGGTGTGGGGAAGGACGGCTCTTTTTCTCTGCCAAGAGAACAATCATAAAGGCAAATAAATTCAAAGGGTCACATACACAAAAGAACATGCCCTAATCCTCCATAATTTAAGAATACAACTGCTGAAGTAGATTTCAGAAAACCCTGGAAAGACTTACATGAACTAATGCAAAGTGAAATGAGCAGAACTAGAAGAGCATTGTACATAGTAACAGCAACGTTGCGTGATGATCAGCTACGAGTGACTTAGCTCCTTTCAGCAATACAATGATGCAAGACAATTCAAAAAGACTCGTGATGGAAAATACTACCCACATCCACAGAAAGAACTGATGGACTCTGAATGCAGATCAAAGCAAACTATTTTCACTCTTTTTGTGTGTGTTTTTTCCTTTTGGTCTGTTTCTTCTTTCACAGCAGGACTAATAATGAAATACGTTTTACATGATTGCACATATTTAGCCCACATCAAATTGCTTACTATTTTGGGAAGAGTGAAGGGGAAGGAGAAAAATTTGGAACCCCAAATTTTGTAAAAATAAATGTTAAAAATTGTCTTTACATATAATTGGAAAAAATAAAATACTATTCAAAAAAGAATACAACAGCTGAGAGTAGTATAGCATTCTTGGAGATAAGGGGAGAAACTTTAAAAAATTAAATTATGCTTCTGAATATCTAAGACAGAACTGTCGGTTCTAGGCTGAAGTTGTAATATATTACAACAAGTTTTCACATGTAGACTTTAGGTTTTCTGAAGTCATAGAATTTAAATAGAAAATACTAATTTGGGAGAATTTTTTGTTCTCTTTTTTCACCAAAGGGAAAATCTATTTCTACACCGCAGGGAAAAGTTTGTTATTTTAATACTTCATTTTTGACATGAAACTATATTGGTAATTTGGCTCACTGTTTCTGATGCTTCTAGTATCAATCAACTAGCATTTGTTAAGCATCTACTATGTGTGCAGAACTGTGCTAAGCAGTGGGGATATAAAGAAAGGCAAAAAACAACAGTCCCTGCTTTTAAGGAGCTCAGTCTAAAGGAAGAGACAATATGCAAAGAACTATGTACAAACAAGAACTATACAAGACAAATTGGGGAGTATTCTCAGAGGGAAGCACCAAGGCAGCACTAAGGGAAGTATTAAGGGACACTGGGAAAGGCTTCTGGTAGGCGAGCCCTTAGCTGTGAAATAAGTGAGGCCAGGGAAGCCAGGGGGCAAGAGGAAGTGGGAGAGAATTCTAGGAAGGAGGACTACCAATGGAAATGAATGGCGTCTGGAGATGTGTCTTTTGTAAAGAACAGCAGAAGGTAAGTGTCACTGGACTGCAGAGTGTATGGGGAGAAGTAAGGGGTAAGAAGACTGGAAAGGTAAGAATGGGCCAGGTTGTTATTTGTCGTGGAGGTAAGAGGGAGCCACTGGAGTTATTAAATAGGGAGAGGTCAGACTGATGTTTGACAGCTGAACGGAGGACGGATTAGAGTGGGGAGAGACTTGAGAAGGGAGACCATTTCTTCTAGTCCAAATGTGAGGCAATGAGGGCCTGCGCCTGGGTGGTGGCAGTGTCAGAGGAGAGGAGTGATATATGAGAACTGTTACAAAAGTAGAAACAACAGGTCCTGACAGCTGCCTGGATGGGGTCAGTGATGGTGAGATAGAATGAAGAAATGAGGATAACACCTACGTTGCTAGACAGGGTGACCAGAAACATGGCGGTACCCTCAATGGTAATAGGGAGGGAAGGAAGAAGAGAGAAAAAAGAGACAATAACTATAATCAACAGAGCTGACTAGATTACCAAGTGAAACAGCACAGATAAAGAAGAGGACCCAGGATGGCTTCTTGAGGGGGACTCTAAAAGTTAACCTGAATGAAGATTCAGCAAAGGAGACGGAAAGACTAAAACAGCACTCAAACAGGTAAGAGAAGAACCAAGAGAGAGGAGTGTTCTGAAAATCTAAAAAAGAGACAATCAGGGAAAAGATGTTGATTGACAGTGTCAGAGGCTACACTGAGATCAAAAAGAATAAGAATTAAAAGAAGGCCATTATATTTGCCAATTAAGAGTTCACCAATAACACTGAAAATAAAGTTTCAGTTGAATGATTAGGAAGGAAGCCAGATTGCAAAAATTAAGAACAAAATGAGAGAAAAGGAAAGGGAGATACCTATTGTAGAAGGCCTTCTCAAGGAGATTAGCCAAAAAAGGGGGGGGGAGGTATAGGATGATAGGTAGTGAGGCTGGACTGATCAAGGGAATGGGGGAGACATAATTGTTTTTGTGGGCAGTAGGGAAGTGGTGAGTTAAAGACAGAGAAACTGAAAATTCCTGACAGAGCAGGGATGCTGGACGTGGCCACATGCTGGAGAATATGAGATGAAATAGGATCTCTTGTGTTTGTAGAGGGGTCTGCCTTGGCAAAGAGAAGGGCCACTTCTGCATGTGAAAGAGAGGTGAAGGAGGACATAGCTGTGGAAGATATCTGAGTGATGTGAGATGAGGAACAAGGAGAAGAGGAAGCTCTCTGTGAATGGTTTCAATTTTTTCAGTGAAAAATGAGGTAACCTTCAGAAGAGCTGCTGGGCTAAGTGGGAGAGTAAAATCGGTTAAAAAGGAGGTATAAAAGGACTGCCTTTCTGCAGTGAGGGCTTAGTTGAAATTATGTAACAAACCTGTAGGAGATCTGGTCTGCACAACTTTGTGATTTTACCTCAAGATTTACTAAGCAGCCCATTAATAGGACTGAAGGCACACAGCCACCAAATAAATGTCTCTGAAGCACAGATTGGTCCATGTCACTCGTGCTCAAGAACTGCTATGACCTGGTACTGCCTCTAAGTCAAAGTACAAACTCATCTGTTTGGCATTTAAAGCTTTGCGCTTGTCTCCTACTCATCTTACCAGACTCACTCTCCCTCACACACTCAATTCTGGCCAAAGTTTCCTACCTGTTCTTCCCCAAACACTCTGGGCCTCTGCACAGTTTACTTCCCAAGGTTGGAAATGTCCTCCCTCTTCACATCCACCTCTTGGAACCACTAGCTACCTTCATGGCTCATAGCAAATGGCACCTCCTTAAAAGAGGCCTTTTCTAATTCTCCTGGTTGTTGCTTCCAAAAAACTAAAAGAAAATTAAAGAGTTTGAAGGCACCTCAATGGCCACCTCGTCTAACCCATACAGAGAAGGAAAGTCTACTGTTAATGAGCTTGAAAAGTGGTTGTCCAAACCCTGTCTGAAGACTCTCTCCCATGCAGCCTATTTCATTTTGGGCAGCTCATGGTGTCAGCAAATCTTTTTGCTTACAAAATTTTAGGCCTGACATCAAAATTGGTCCTTTCTACTCTGGAGCCAAAATGACCAAGCCTAATTTCTCTCTGAACACAGCTAATGCATACCTCCCCACCCCCAAGTCTTCTCTTCTCCAGGCTAAACATGCCCAGGTCCTTCAATCTGAAAAAGAAATCAACTATTTTTTGATTACTTTGATTTATTTTTAGTTTGATTATAGGATTAAGCTCCCTTCTTTAGGAAAAGCTAGCCCTAAAATAAGCCAGACTAACATAGATACTCTCTTAAGTCTAGGCAGAAAGAGGAGTTGACCAGGGGCTAAGTCCCTCTTTCTGGCAGCTAGACAAAGGTTATCCAGAGGCTAAGTTTCCCTTTCCACTCTTAGTGTATAAGCTCCTTTTTTTCTTGAGCTAGAGTCTAAAATGAGTCATAGACTCTACTAAGGAAGATGGGTGGGGTGGCTGCTAACCACTGACCACAAATTCCTCTTTCCCAGTACTCTCTGGTTACAAAAGGTACCACCTGGAGGAAAGGACATCAGACACAGGATTAAGAAAGTCTTGGAGAAGCTAACTAATCAGGTGACCTGACTTGTCCAATTGAACTATGTTCAAAACAAGTTTCTATGACTTTTCCAATTCCTCTTTTTTGCTGTAAAAACCATCTTTGTAAATCACTCCTTGTTTCTGACCTCTGAGAAGTCAGGTGACCTGGCTTAATATGCAAATACTAGCTTTGCAAATTAAATCATATATGGCTCGGTAACTTTGTTCTCAGTTTCCTTTTTATTTCAGATAATCAATTTTAACAAACTGATCTTCATGACATGGACTTAAAACTCCTTCACCATCATGACTGGTCTCTAAATACTCTCCCAGTTTGTCAATGACTTTCCTAAAACTGTGGGTCCCAGAACTAAATATGATATTGCAGACAAGGTCTGATAAGGTCACAGTATAGGAGGACTATCCCCTCCCTATTCCTGGAAGCTATGCCTCTCTTAATGCAGCCCAAGATCACATTAGTTTTTTTCAATGCCATACCACACTGCTGACTCATACTTAGCTGGAAGTCCACAAAAAGCCTTAACTCTTTTTCAGAACAACCTGCTGCCTAACCACGTCTCCCCTATCTCACACTTGCAAAATTGATTTTTCTGTACCCAAGTTTAAGACTTTGCTTTTATCCCTACTGAATTTCACCTTAGATTCAGCCCAGTGTTCTACTCTGTCAAAGTCTTTCTGGATCCTGAATCTATTTGACTTTTAAAAAATTTTTTTAAGCTCTTCAATGAATTCCTTTCTGGGGCCTGTGACCAATTCACATTTTTCTTTAAAGCTCTGCATGCAGCTATTTTGACTTTATTGCTTTCTGAATTTGTGTCTTGATCTTCCATGTCAACCTAATAACTTTCTATGATCAGGATTTCTGTCGTTTGCTCATTTTTCCAGCCTATCCTCTGAATTATAACTTTATGTTAAAGTCGGGTGGAGGGGGCACTGTCCCAAGCTTCGAGCCTTCCTTGCTGATGTTTTCAGAGCTAGTTCGGGGGGGGGGAGGGTAATCTGTAAGTATTTGCTTCTTCCAAGGCAATGTGATGTGGGGAGAGGTGTGGTCACTGCTCTCCAGGCCTGTACTCTGGTCTATAAGAGACTATAAGCACTCTTCTCCACCCTGAAACTGTGACTAGGGCCTCTCTACCCCTGTGGTTCTGATTCTATAGTACTCTGTCAAAATGATAAAGGGGGGAGAGGTTCAAGGGTGGCATGGCAACTAGGTGGGATAGTGCATCAAGCCCAGAGTCAGTAAGACCTGAGTTCAAACCCAGCTTCACACACTAGCTGGGTGACCCTGGGCAAATCATTTAACCTATTTGCCTCAGTTTCCCCATCTGTAAAATGGAGACTCAGGGTTGTTATGCAGATTAAATGAGACAGTAGTTGTAAAGTGTTTAGCAAAGTGTCTGGCACATAGTAAACAGCTAGTGATCCTCTTCACCCTGGGTCTGTGACTGTGTATGGGCAATGACAACAGGGTCCTGCAGCCAGTTCCAGTAAAGGAGCTCCTGTAATTTCCTTCTGACCAGTTGTCCAACCCTGTTACTATCTGTGGGCTGAGAGTTCCTACTGCTGCAGCTGCCTCTGTTGCAGATACAGCCACCCCCAAGGCCTGCTATGGCCAAGGGCTGTGTAATCCAAGCTTGGTTCCAGGTCTGACCACCACCCAGCGAGACAGACCTTTCCTGCTGATTTCGTAAGTTGGCCTGGGGTAGAAAATTGTTTCACTCTGACCTTTCATTGGTTCTGCTGCTCCACTATTCAATCTGAGGTGTTATTTTAATGGTATTTGGAAGGGAACTGGGGACAGCTCAGGCAAGTCCCTGCTTTTACTCTGCCATCTTGGCTCCACGAGATGGATCCTGAATCCACATGTAAAATCTACCTAAACATTTTTAAGTTGGCTCTGTACTTATTTTTGTACACACATTGCATTTACTGATCTGTACTATATCCTCTACATAGCATGGGAAGTTTCCTGAGAGCAACCATGGTTTCCTTTTTGCTTTTGAATCTACTGTCCAGCAATGCCTTACATACATATAAACACTTAATAAATGCTTGTTGAATGGAACTGAACAAATCTAAGTCTTAGGATCAGACCTATCAAGACCATTTTGGCCTGATTTCCTAGTTTTTTGTTACAAGCTAAAACCACAGTCCCAGGAACTCCCTAAAAATCAAACTTGTTTCCAAGGGAAACCTACTGTGTGTCCAGCCAAATTAATCCTGTGTCTCACAGCTCATATTACCATTCTATTCTGTGCCTACATGGCAAATACTAGAACATCTCACTGCAGTCTGCCAAGAAATAAAATACAATACCATAGTATTTCAAATGCTCAGAGGCCACATGTATACAGTACTTCTGATTCTACAGTACTCTGTCAAAATGATAAAGGGGGGAGAGGTTCAAGGGTGGCATGGCAACTAGGTGGCACAGTGGATAGTGCATCAAGCTTAGAGTCAGTAAGACCTGAGTTCAAATCCAGCCTCAGACACTAGCTGGGTGACCCTGGGCAAATCATTTAACCTGTGTGCCTCAGTTTCCCCATTTGCAAAATGGAGACTCAGGGTTGTTATGTAGATTAAATGAGACAGTAGTTGTAAAGTGCTTAGCAAAGTGTCTGGCACGTAGTAAACAGTATATAAATGCTCACTATTATTATAAGAGGGGGAAATGCAGCCATATTCATTAAATAATACAAATTTATACCATAGCTGTGGGGGTTATAATATTGCTTATCAAGCTTTCTTTAAGCTTATGGACTGACACTGCCAGCATCTGATCTATTTCTAAAGAGTTGTATGAAAATTCTAAACTAGAGGTTCATAACCTTGTTTGCAGCTGGTGAAACCTATGGACCCCCTTTCCAGAATCATGTGGCTTTTAAAAATTCATTACTGAAGGTAATGCCAAATTTCAGTTGGAGGTTGGTGAAATGAAAGATATACCTTTTTTTTGCATACAAGTTTACAGACACATGTTAAGAACATCTTTTTTTAAACTGAACAGTAGGGGGCACAAGGGAGTTTCCTTACCCTCAGCAGCTGGGTCATACTAAGAGATTGTTTCTGTAATTCCTTTTTCTCTCCATTTTCTGTGGTTTCTTTCTTCAAGTTTTTAGTAGTTACTCCACAAGCCAGAGGTTCTTGCTGAACATTATCCAGTCGATAAATGAGGTGCTCAAAACGAGAACTAGATTTTAGAGGTTCAATCCCATAGCTGGTACTCTCCAAATGCAGCAATCCCCTAAAAATTTAATCACTTTCAAAATTAGTGAATTGCAAAATTCATTTAAATAGAAAAAGTTCACATTCTCAAAAACTAAAAAAGCTTATATTAATCACAGAATACTAAATATGAAAGGGGCTTTGGAGATTGTTTAAACTAACCACTTTACAAATGAGGAAATGGAAGCTGAAAGACGTGCCTTAGTGACAGAGCTAAGATAAGAATCTCCAACCTTCAGACTCAAAGCCTAGAGACCTTTCCATTACACGCTACACAACATCTCACAGTAATATACAAAACTACTGGAGAAAAGCAATGCACATTCAAATTACATATCAAAACCCCTAACAGTTATATCTGGAATTTTCCAAAGTTTCATAGAGATAAAATGACAGCAAAAAGGAAAAGAAATTGGAGGTGAGATTTTAAAAAATGTTTAAATAAAAAGCAGATTTAATAAATTGTTTTACCTGAGCCCAAAACAAATGCTAAGTGCAACAGATGAATTTGGGACACCTTCCACATAACCCCGATAATGGCAATGATCCTAAATGAGAAAAAAATATTATCTATATCACAATCTTATTGCTACAAGTCACCACTAAAATTAAGTTCTATATACTATCAAGAACTCTTTGTTTGTAACTTACATTACATATAAGGGCTTAAGAATGGAATTTTAAGATACCATTTCTCCATTCCCATAATATAAGTACACAAATGCTTAGGCAGAAGGGCCCAGATGATGCTAGGAACAAACAGTTCCACCCTGATGACATTCCAACCTAGAAGTAAACAAGGCAGCATTACGTGTAGTTTAACATTTCCAAACAACCATGGGGTTAGTCAAAGAAGATCAGGAACACCAAGGTTCAACACCTCTATGCACACTGGCTGAGTGTGACTATGTGACTTCATCTTACAATGCCCCAGACAATTCTCCAAGACAGTAAGCAGCATAGATGCTGACCTGCATGGTACAAGGGGCTTCCTTCTTCAGGAGTTCCTTATACCAATGAAATCACAGGATCAATTTTAAAATGTTTTCAAAACACAGATACTACAGGGAGCAAGAGCAGTCAACTGTCTTCTAGTACACAGGACTGAAGCCAAGAAAACAGTTAACTAAAGCATCATTACTGTTGTTAAAGGTGTATACTGCTGTTTTCTCACATTGGCCAATTTGTTATACTTATGAACTGAACTGTCTTTCTAAATGTAATGGCTCCTTTCCTTAAAACTGGTCAACAGACAGTGACAATTCAAACCCACCACTATTTACTAAATCTAGCTTCTTTAGTAGCTTAGAAGCTCTGTTCACCTCCAAAAATACCTTTATTACAGTTATTTATGCACTAAATATGGGCATTATTTCAGTATTTAACAAATGTTTATCTACTCCGTGGTGATTTAAAACTCGATTTTTCTAGTTTTCTGTAGGTGACAAATGTATTTTGGATATAATTTTCTACCAGCTAATATTACAAATTAAAGAACAATGACAAGATAGGAAATATATCAAATTCAGAACAGTTTTAATCTGCCTAGAGAATGAGGGATAATCTTTCAACTGGCAAACAAACAAAAAAACCCCCACTCACATTAGTTTGTCTTTCTAGGAGCTAACAGGAAGAGATAAAACTCTACAATAATATTTTGTAAGTTCACAGTTACACAAGATCTATTGATGCTATTTAAAATACATCTTCAAATAAAACTTGATCACAAGAAACCTCCATACGGATAGCATAAAATTATGAGAAGTCTGTTTTCAGCTTCCCTTAACACCACTCAAAAATGAACCTTAAAGTTCACTGCTTGAAAAATATATCAAAATGTATATATTTTCTACTTCATTTCCTGTCTACAAACTGCATTCAGAGGATCATAAGATTTAGAGTTGGAATGAACCCTTAGTGGTTCATCTAATCCAGTATGTTAAACTCCAATAGACCTGGATTCACATTATCCAGGTTGCAGTGTATTTTTACATATTTTGCTAAAGACTTCCCAATAACATTTTGGATTGGGCTCTACTGGGTTTCGTTATAAGACACCTCTGATGTAATCCAACCTTTTCATTTCACAGGGGAGGAAAACAAGATTCAAAATCACAAAGAGAGTAAGCAATATTTGCTGAATTCAATTTCAAGTAACAGAATTTAGCCTCGAATCCAGATCTCCAGACTCAGGCTGTTCCTCCTTCACCACAAGGCTTCTGCTGCCTCTGGTGTTTTCCAAAATTATCATAGAAGGAGAAGACATTTGGTCCATGACATCAATGCACAATTATTTCTAGGAGGGAAAAAAACAAAGTATTTGCTCTTTCATTTGTCAAAAAAATAACTAAACCTAGAAGATTTTCCTGCCCACTGTTTCATAATGCAGGGCGTGCAAATCAAGAAAAGTAGATCTCTCAAAGCACAAAAAACTCAAGCAGAATAAAATACATTTTCAATATAACAAGTAAATGTTCTAGGAAATATTCCTCAAGACAATGACCCTTAACTTATATCATAGATACAGGATTAATTTATATATATATATATATTTTTTTTAAAACCCCAGCAGAATAAAATACATTTTCAATATAACAAGTTCTATGAAATATTCCTCAAGACTACAACCTTGAATTTATACAACAGATACAAGGGATTAATTTATACATATTTTAATAAAAGGAATAGGGTGACATTTAACTGCTAAATAGGACAATAGGAAAATACTCTGATTAGCTTAGACAAAAAAGTAGAACTGCTTGTGCTATAGCTAAACATCACAGAGAGCCAAATTCAACAAATGATAATTAATTGCTATGGTCCAGGCCAGCTCTGTCCCCAGGAGAGATTCCCTTGCAGAAAGAACCACACCTCTTTAGTCATTGTTTTCAGTGAGCAATGAGATTGTTAGAATACAGAGCAGCAAACAAATGCTTATTAGTAAAATGTCAGTGGCTTAATACGAAAGAAGAGCTACTTCCCAAGTTATCACACTTTAAGTAGAATACAAATTAAAGACCTCAACTAGAATTGTAGAAAATTTACTTACAAATGTACAAACTTAAGGATCAGCTACTTTTCTTCAATGTATACAATACCGACCAGGGCCCTCTGTTTTTCCTTTGATAAGCAAAATGAAACCTTATTACCCAAGAATAGTTTTCTGGTTTTTTTAAAATAAAAAATGAACCACTAAGTGCCTGAACAAATATATTTGAAAAATACAGTTGTTTAAAGTCTTGTGCCAAGAGCAAAAGAAAAAAAATTACCTCCATATCAGGATGGTCCAAGAGCAGAGACCCCTCTTCACTGTAAGTATAAACTACAAAATCTTTGGGCAACAGTCCCCTAAAAGATAAATAAAACATATTTCATTTGTCATGCTTTTTTTCTACATGCGTAAAAGGGCTCAGTCATTCTAGAAAAGATGGTCTAACACCAGGAAATAGGTAACATTTGATAGGAATGTTGTTAATATCGAATCTAATATTATCATCTCTGTCAGAAGGCCATACTGACAGTAAGAAAGCCCCTCCCTCTGACCAATAGTAGTAATGTCAGAATTCTAGTGATATCCTCGCATTCCTGTTCTTGGAGTCTTTACTCGCAATTAGGTTAAAGTCCCCACCCTGGGATCTTAACCCATAAACAAAGCCAGATTGAGCCAGATCATCTGCTAAAGTGGCTTCTAATGTCCTTGCGTGGCTCAAGGGGATTTATGGAGAGTTAGATCATGAAGGGAAAAAAAAACCCAGAATAAAGTGCTAGAGAGGTAGATTGCCAAGGGTGGTGTTGGTCTCATGACCAGACCTTGCTACCACCTTCCCCTTTTCTCCTAAAAGTATAAAAACCTTTTTCTTAAGTTTGGAGAGGAAGGGGAGGACTGGAACATCCATTTCTTCAGATGTGGGGAACCCCAAGGCTGCAGGCTTGCGACCCTGTTATCTTGATTAAAGACACCTTATTTTACCTGTATCTAACATTCTCTTCCTGTAATTGAAACCCATTTTCTTATTCAACTTTCAAAAAAAAAGATGAATAGTTTAAAGCATTGTTGCTATTCCTATTTGTTTGATTTGCCAATTAACTAAAGCAAAAACTAATTAGAAAGAAAATCTAAAGCCTCAAAAAGTGCTACCAAAAAGCCACTAGATAATGTCTCTTACTTATTTCTTTCCAGGTGAACAACGTGTTTCCTTCCTTCAGCCTGAATGACATAAGACACCTGGTCCTAAAAGGAAAAAAAGAAACAGTAAGTCACAATTGCTTTTCAGTTGATTATTTATGTCAACAAAACACAAAAATTACATCCCAAATTAGAATAATGATCAATACAGCTTGTACTTTGCTTCTGATAATGTCACGAAATGTGTCTACAGCATGTAAAAAGAGCATTTGCACTCAGAATTTTATGGATGTACTCTAGCTCTCCTTAACAAGAAGTAGTGTAGTACAGTAGAAAGAACATGGGATTTTCAGTCAGAACACTTGGATTCCAATCCCAGTTCCTACCTGTGCCGGCTGCGCCGTGCACTCTCCTCCTATAAGGAGCAGGCTGCCAAGGTCATACTACTTACCAGTTTTCGGTGCCCACCTGGATAAACACAGAGACGAGCCGATCAGGAGGTGCCAACATTCGAGCTTTATTCAGAGGCCATCACAGCAAGGCCAAGCAGGAAGGCCAGAGCAAGAGAGCAGGAGCAAAAAGAGAGCAAGCTCCGATCCCTACTGTTCCTAAGTACCTACTTAGCCCCTCCTCCTCAGCCCGCCTACTAGTCATTGATTGTAGGATCAGATACTGAAAGGGGATGTCTGGGTTTAGCGCACCAAGGGAGAGGAAGTGATGCAGGAGGCTAGGACCGGATACAGGAAGAAGACGTCTGGGATTAGTGCACAGACAAAGGGAAAGTACGTGACCCAGGAAGTCAGGAAGGAGACGTCTGGGGTTAATGGTGCACCTAGGGAAGAGGACTAGACAAAGGAACTCGTTCTCTGCCATCCCACTCCCACGTGGCACAGCCCCCTGCCTCAGGAGCGTGAGCTCCGGTTACTTCCTAATATCTTGTTCCTACCCCATTTTGCCACAACCCCCACTTGGCAGTAGCCAACATCAGACAATCCCTCACACCTACCATTTACCAAGCCACATGAACATTGGCCACAAGAAGTCTATTATTCCAAAGCTTAAACGTGATATATGGGCAACCCCAGGTTATTAAAGGTTAAGTCAATGGAGGACAATGTCTGGCGGATGCCACCTTACTGAAAAGGATTTAAATGTAGTCCCTGTGGTGGACAATCAACTTCAGAGGACCAGTCCAAATAAGGACAAAGAGGTTTAACACCATTTGGCTATCCACAAAAACTGAGGGGAAAAAAATATATGAAATACTCCTTAGTCTTGTGCAGCTCTTTCTGTGCCTGAAAAGATGGTAGCAGAACAGCAAAAAGGGAGCAGAGAGTGTTGAGGATCACAGTTATCATGTAATCAAAAGACATTTATTAAACACACTTAATAACACTTGATCTTATTCAACTCATAAAGAGCGTGACAAGATCATCATGAAGATACCCTCAGTTTATGAGCCAAATCTATTGCAGAAGATGGAGAGAAATTCTATAAAGAATTTTGTAAGAACTTATAAATTAAATCAATTAATATGGGAGGCTACCAAAAGTATGTGAGAGAATACTGCTCAGAAATATCAGAAAATTTCCCCCAAAAGACCAATGGTAAAGGAAACCAAAAGAATCAGAAGAGCTTTCATCCAGTCTAGAACAGGTCATGAAGATAACCAGAAGTCCAGAGTAGAGGTTTCACTAGGGAAGCCAGAAAAAGAACAGATAAATGCATAAGCCACTGGAGGCAAGAAGACAGTTTGTGCCAGAGAAGCTAATGTGATCACAGGTAAACCAACCAAAAGCCAGGAAGAGAGACACACCAGGGAAACCATCATAAGCACAGGTAAATGATCCCATTGTCAAAGGTGGGTAGGGAGATGAGGCAGGCCAGGAAAGCCAGCACAAGTTTCTACAAACAAACCTTAAACCTTCCATCTAGCGTTCAGGGGGCTATTACGAGCTATTATGAGCTCCTGTAATCATGGACTTGAAGCCATATCCCAATCACAAACTATATGTCATTACAAAGGGAATAGGGCCTGGACACGCACCCCTCAGAGAACTGATAGCTACAGTAAGAGACAGGGTCAGCTCAGAGTTAAGAACCAGAGCAAGGAGGACTGTGATAGAGGAATAAGACCAAAATGCTCTCTGGCATCCAAATGGTGTCTGTTGGATGAAAAAAAGTCCAAGAGGTAAAACACAGAAGAAGAAAGCAACCCTCCAACAACTACAAGCAGATCCTGAGAGAGGGGAAAAATGGCTTGGCTACATAAAGGACTACAACAGTGTGGAAGAAATGAAACAAGATATGAAAAGTGAAATTAGAAATGAAATAAGGGTTCAGGGAAGAAAAAACTGAAAAGCTAAACAGCTTAGAACAGAAAGTGTAAAAAACATACACATATACAATATACATGATACGTACACAAGTATCAACCCAAGTATCAAACTCCCTGAAATAGGGATGGAGCAATCTGAACTCAATAATTTCATGAGACAACAAACAATATTACAGCAATGTCAAAAGATTAGGGAAAAAATAGAAGAAAATATAAGGTATCTAGTCAAAAATGACTGAAAAAAAGCCAAAGAGAAATAATGCAATAATGACTGGACTCCTTAAAAGCAATGACCAAACAAAAAACCAAAGATGTATTATAGCAGATAGTAGAATTAATACATAATCACAAGAAAATTGCATGGATATGTTAATGTTATAAACAGAGTGGAATAATATTCCAATAACACAAAGAATAACAAAAACTAAATTACCCTGCAAATCTGAGCACAATCGTATGGGGGGGAAAATGGTCTTCAGTAGAATCAAGAAGGACAATCAATAAAAAGCTAAAATTCCCCCCTCCTACTACCCACTCCCCCAAAATACTGAAAATATTGCTCAGGATTAAGAAATTAAAATGACTAAAGATCTGCAGACTACACAAAAAGGCTAACACAAATCTATCATAAATACTTTCTTAAAGATTGGGGAAGGTGCTGGATGGATCAGGCAAGTACTGAAAAACACCACAAAAAAATATTAAACTATAGTAGACAAGAAATCACTCCAATTCCTCTACCACAAAGCTTCCAAAGTGATTTACCTAAAGTATACAGGTCTAAGCAGGTTACCTTATTACCAGACAAAATCTAACGGCTCCCTAATACTTCTGGAATCAAACAGAAACTATTCTGTTTGGAATTTAAAGTCCTTCACAATCTGGCCCTTTCCTACCTTTCCAGTCTTCTTATATATTATGTTCCTAAATGAATTCTCCTGCCCCAGTAATACTGATCTACTAGCTTTTCATTTGCCAGTGTACAGGTAAGATCACTGACTTGTTCAAGCAAAGACCAAAACCAACACCAAATTAAAAAGGTAAATGTAAGAAAAATACTAAAACTCTAACTTAATTGATTCAAAAGGTGGGAAATGGGAAAAGGATAAACATTTTAAAAACAGACAAAGACAAGAACTATATAACCAGTGGAAGGTTAAATATGGAAAGGTGGCAGAGAAGGGTGTGTTTTTTAGCCCCAGAAATGACTGTGACATAATGATACAAGGTGTTAACAATTTTTTAAAACTGAGATAAAATAAAATTTTTTAAAAGGCAACCTACCTGTGCTGAATGGGGCCTAGGGGCCTCTCTCCTTTCTCTAACTAATCTCCAGGGTGTTATAATTTCATAGGAAGACAGATGCGAGGTCTGCTGAAAACCTATCAAAAGAAAAAGCAATCACATTATAATCGATGAGAAGGGAAAAACAACATGTGCTCCCCACGAAAAGAGCTCAAAGTACAAATTTCTAAAAAAAACTCTCAGATGTCACATACAGTAAAGTATCTCTAAGAAGAGATAAGTAAGAACTTAAATCTTAATTGAAGTACTCAAATCTTTTCATAGTATTTCATGCGGATATTTCTTTATAACACTCTGTCTGCTATCACATTTACTTGTATATACTTCATACCTTCCATAATGAACTGAGATCTCCTTGAGCACACAGACTATGGTTTTTCATCTTTGTATCCCAAGTGCTTTGCAATAGAAGACATATAGTAAAAACTTATTGAATTAAATACAGAAAAGCAACAGAATGTTGCAGTAGATAGGTAAAAAGAGAAATAAAAGTTTTTTTGTTTGTCTTTCCTCTAGAACAAGCACTAATTATCACCGATACTTGAAAATATGTACTGAAGGTCCCAAAACCATTCTAGGTTTCATGAAATCAATTCCTGGTTTCCCAAGTTCCCAGAGATGTTGCCAGCTGGCAGAAGTGAAGGACAGGTCTTCCCAGGCACTCAAAGTCCCTTTCCTTGCATTCTATCCTACTATCCAGATAAGCCTCAGTTTTAGCTCAGGACACAGTCCCCTTCTCTCTCTCTCTCTCTCTCTCTCTCTCTCTCTCTCTCACACACACACACACACACACACACACACACACACACACACCCCCTCCCTCAGGGTGGATTCAGCTCCAAATTGTCCCTGAGGGACCAGCACAGTCCACTTTATGATGACTAACAAGCTGGACATGAAATGTAAATGTCTCCATTGTTCACAGTTTATTTGCTTTCACTGCCCTCCCTATTCTCTGGCTTAATGAAGCAGTTAGTTTTTACCGGCAAATGCTCTGAGGTCACACTAAAGATTTGCCCGCTACTAGTAAAGCAGAACCTTCCTGGCCTAGCACTTACAAGAGGTCAACTAACATTACCTTCATTTTCTCATCTTTGTTAACTCTTACTTAGTTACTATTTATTCTCTTTATTTCTAAGCTGCTACATATACAAAAATGGCCATGGATGGAAGGTCTTCAAATAGATCACCTCTGCATAAGTGTCAGTGAGCAATTTATTAAGTGCCTATTCTGTGACAGGCACCAAGCTAAGAACTGAGAATAAAAAGAAACAAAAAGGACAGTCCCTGCCCTCAAGGAACTCACAGACTAATGAGAAAGATGACATGCAAACAACTATGTATAAACAAGACATACACAGGATAAGCCATAGGATTCTATATTTGATCCTGGAGATGTTAGGGAGTCACTGGAGTTCAATGAATTGGGGTACTTGGGGGGAGTAACAAGTCAGACTTGCAGCCTTTCACACTGTGATCACCCTATTCTCCTTCATACTGTCTTCTCTCTAGGTTTTTGTGACACTGCTCTCTCCTGGTTCTCTTACCCATCAGATTACTCAAGTCTCCTTTGCTGAATCTTCATCCAGGTCACATGGGTTAAAAGTGGGTGTCCAAACGGGGCCCTCTTTTCTTCTCTCTCTATACTATTTCACTTGGTGATCTTATCAGCTCCCAACTCAATTATAACCTCTATGTTGAATGATTCTCAGATTTACCTAATATCTTATCTAAATCTAATATTTTATCTAAATCCTGATCTAATTACTATCTCTCTTGACCTCCAGTCTTGCATCTCTGTTACCTATTGGACATTTCAAATTGAATGTCATGTAGATATCTTAAAATCATCATTTTCAAAACTGAATTCACTGTTTTCCCCTACCCCCAAACCATCCTCTCTTCCTTCTCTATTACTGTCAAGCATACTACTATCCTCCCAGGCTTACAACCTACATGTCATCATCAACTCTTCACTCTCTCTCACCCCCCTCCCCATATCCAATCCATTGCCAAGACCTGTCAATTTTATTTTCATAAGCTCTCTCACATTTGATCCCTTCTATCCTGACACTGCCACCACCCATGCTGTCAATCAACAAACATTTATTAAATGCTCCTATGTGCCAGGCACTGTGTTAAGTGCTAGGATTGAAAAAAAAAAGGCAATAGAGTAACCAGATCCTCAAGGAGCTCATGATCTGATGGGAAGAAATGAAGAAATGACGGCTCTCCTTAAATGGAGGAGCTGAGAGCTCTCCACTACCCACCATTCACCATTCACCATCTATCTTCTCCAGGGGATGGGAAGGGCCACAGGGGTAGGGAGTACTGGTAAGGTATGAGTTTCAGGGCTGTTGTTATCTTGCAGGATGATGAGGTTCCAAGGAACATGATGAAGTCCAAAGGAATACAGCCAGTGAGAAATGAGATGGGTGCTTTATGGGTCCTCATTTAACATAGGATACGGGAGTAACACTCCACTGGTACAGGTCCTCATCACCTCTTATCTAGACTATTGCCATAGCCTGCCAGTTGCGTCTGCCACAAGTCTCTCTACACTGTAAGTCCACCCTCCCCTTAGCTGTCAAAGTGATTTTCCTAAAGCCCAGATCTGATCATGTGACCACTGTCCCATCCCCCATTTAATAAATTCCAGTGATGTGCTATCATCTCTAGGATTAAATATAAAATTCTGTGTTTGGTTTTCAAAGCCCTTCGTAACCTGTACCCTCTCAGCATCACCTTTACCAGTCTTCTAACATCTTAAATATCAATACATACTCTTTCACCCTGTGACACTGGTCTCCTTGTTTCTCAAACAAAACACTCCAATTCTTGCATAGGCATTTTCACTGGTTGTCCCTCATTCCTGGAATGCTCCCCCTCCTCATCTCTACCTTCTGGTTTCCCTAGCTTTCTTCAAGCTTCAGCTAAAATCCTACCTATATTTAGTGGGTAATCAACAGACATCTGAAATGTATCTCTTGCAATAAAATTTTCTTAATGCCTGTGAAAGGTACTGCTTCATATGTTGACATTTTGGTTGCTGAAAGGGCAGAAAAAGAACATCTATTTAAAAAAAAAACAACTGAAAATCAACTTGAGAAGACACAGCCTCTCAAATAAAATGTGCAAAGACACAAGATTGCTCACAGATCAGATAAAGAACTGTCCTGATGAATGTACTGAAAGGACTTGTCTAAAGGCAAAGAAATAACCAAGGTAACTATGATTTCTAGTCCGTCAGCTCATTTTCATGTGACTGTTTCCAAAGTTTTAAAGGTTACAACTAAGAAACTGTAAATCTAGCGAATATTTGGAGATTATGTGAATTTTTAAGGATTGTTGAGCCACACCTGCCAAAAAGTCAGCACTGTTAAGGTCCACATCATAAGCTACAGATGAATTACTGCTTGTGAGGAAGCACTGATAGAAGGCATTAGAAGCCAAAGCAGAAACTATAGGTAAAAGCAAGCAGAAAAGTAGTAGTAGAGAGAGAAGAGGGAAAATCCAAGCATAAGGAGGAGTTGGGGACAGAAGGCAGAGGAGGCCACAAGAAGAGGTGCTTACAGAGGACAGAATTTAGAAGCTGTAAGGAGCAGAGCTGACAGGAAAGCTTTGCAGCTGTTTTGCTGGAAGCCACGCTGATTGGAAGATAGGTACAGCTTTGCTTAGTACTGACTGGCTTACTGTGAGAAAGCTGAATCCTGCTGGGGTGTGAAGAATCAGCTGGACTAACTGCACTGTAGTACCATCTATGGCCTGAGAGAAAGGAAATCTCTCAGAAGTCCTTGGATTTCCGTCTGCTGCTTTCTCTACTTTGAGAGGGAAAAACAAGCTTTGGATCTGCTTTGCTGTGAAAAGAGGTCTGAATTCTTTGAAAACTGATTAGACATAGCAGAATCCTGTTATTTTAAGAGCTAGCTAGAGAAAGTCCATATAGTCTTATACATCTACAGTTTAAAGGAGGGAGAAACTCATTTGAGGCTAAGAGAAGACCACTGGCTTAAGGGAACTATTTGTTACTGAAAGAAACAAACTCTTTCTGAGCATGCTGCCAAAAGTGGCTATGTGCTGAAAGAGGGGTGTCACTGTTTCAGCAATCCAAGGGTAGCAGAAGATCAGCTTTGTCCAACAAAAAAGCTCTGAGAACTAGATGGGAATCTGACAGCAGAGAAGCAATTTTGCTCAGGAGGTGACACAGGTTACAAACTGTAATGTAAGGCCTACCATTTAGAGTGTTATAAAAGTGTACCCCCCAACCCCAACCACACACACCTGCATTTCCTCTAGGACCCTAAGAGAGAGTCTGAATTACAGCCAAGTGACCATGGCCACTAGCCTTCTAGTGATACTAAGGTCTAGATAGGGAAAACAAACTAGCCCAAGGAGAAAGGGCACATAGAGATATTTCTGGGTTGGGTCCACATCCAAACCATACTTGCTAGAATTTTTATGCTTCTCAGTGGTCAAAGTTACTTAAGCCTTTCCTAAACTATATACTTGTTACTCCTAAATAAATCCATATAGTCCTTATTTAATGAATGGAGGATTGTTGTTGAACACCTAATAATTACACCTGCATGTCCACTATTTGTGGAAAACTGTGTTTCCAGAGCATTTCCTTTATAAATAGATTGGCACCAGGAGTTGCATAGTTTAGCAGTCAGTTAAGTTTCATTTAGTATGAACATTATTAGCAGTTGGTATTTCTGCTGGTGTTTGTAAATTCCAAGTATTTACTAAACTCACTTGGCATAGGTTGTATAAATGTATCTTGATGAATGATAAGCCTGAGAAACGGTTTCTGGGTAATTAATAATCAATTTATTAATTAGGCTAGCCTGTAATTAATAAATTGATGGTCAGGGGTTTCTCTCAGTAACCAAGGACACCAAGGGAGACCCTGAAATGCCTTAAATCCCTTCTGAAAGGGATTTGACAAGTGAAAATCAACCCTGATTGGCTGACATTAACGAAGAGGAGGGCTAAAGTCTTCAGCTCCTCCTTCTGAGAACTTAGCTTGATAAAGAGACTCAACAGCCTCAAGCATGTGGGGAGGGGAAACCATTTC